AATTCCAACTCCTGAGTGACTCGCTACAGTGGTTTTGACAACACAAGCTGGTTTTTATACTGCCCGTGGTGAGCTGAAACCTGCGTGCGGAACATCCAATAGGAAAATTCAACTGCAGTAGCCACCGTTCAACCTGAAGAGGGCAGCACTAAGACGCTTTTACACCATATATTGTAGAAATAGAACACTTTATACACAAATGTCAAAAAAGTTACTCAAATCAATGACTGGAATTAATAAAGATCCATTCTTACAGATCATTAACTAAAAAAAGTTGGTTAAGTGTTTAGTTACTCTTTAAAAGAGCGTTATTACTGGGTTCAAACTAATTAAATCCCAGATTTTTAAGTGGTCCCAATGTGTTTTGTATTTAAAGATGTAAAGGTCTTTTTGTGGTAAGACTGACTTTTGTATGATCAGCATTTTGTTGGTTATGAGTAGGTTTTTAGTCATGCGGGAATCAAATACCTTTAAAAAAAACACCATTTATATAATTGAAGTTCACAACGCAATTTCGGGAGGAGTGGACCCATCTAATCTTTCAATTAAGCGGCAGAGCATCCGCTCACCTCTCTCCGACGTCCCTCCTCCTCTTTCCCAGCTCCACCTGCACACTTTAGGCATCCTCACCCGAGCATCAGTAGTCCCATCTAAGATCTGCTTCCTCGAGCCCCTCCGCTGCGGACAGCAAGCCAAATACGCTATATGGGCGAAGAAACTCGTAAAAAACATGTGTATGGACCTGCCGCTCACTCGCTCACTCTCTCCTGTTAGGTTTGCCGTTTCGATTGGATACTGTGCCTTGTCTCTGAACACGTCCAGTCTCCATGGAAACATCTTCGTGAACTGCTTCCTGTCGGCGGTGGTGGAGGTGCCGGCGCTCTTCATGGCCTGGCTGATGCTCCGCCGCTTGCCACGCCGCATCTGCCTGTCCTCCACCCTGTCCCTCGGAGGACTGCTCCTCCTCTTCATACACCTCATACCACAACGTGAGAAACTTACCTGTAATCTGGTATGCAAGATACTCATTAAAAGATCAGTTTCAGCAGAAATGTTGAATTGTTCACTTTTGATTGTGTTTAACCCTTTGTTTTCCTAGTCAAAAATGGCTTATAAATCTAGTTATGCTATATTAGCACCAAATATTACATCTTTATGTCAGCTTGTTTCAGTCTGGACAGGTTTGGTGTGTCTTTTTGGAACCGATTTATCTGACGAAAAAGTGTGTGCGCCTGAAAATTTCCCCAGAAGGATGACATATCTGAAATCCTTGTCCTAGTGGGGAGATTCATGATGAAAACAGCTTATAACTGTCAGTAACACTATCCACACCACACAATCTCCAAACCCTGAGACGAATGGAGCTCAAGATCAGCCTGACATTACGCCAGACGTTATCTCTAAAGGAAACACTAGTTTTCTCGCCTCGTGACCTCATGTCACTCTTGACCTAAGGGAGTTGTCTACTTATCAGGGTGGAGATAGCTTCACCCTTAATGTTGGCTCATGAAGGGCTGTCCGCTTGTAAACTCAACCTGTTGGGAGGCAGACACGCTTCATGAAACATAAGGAAACTGCCCACTTAGAAATACACCACTAGGGGGACGCCATGCCTTAAAGGGTTAGTTCACCCAAAAATGAAAATTAAGTCATTAATTACTCACCCCCATGCTGTACCAACCCCGTAAGACCTTCGTTCATCTTCGGAACACAAATAAAGATATTTTTGATTGAATCTGAGAGCTGGATCAGTCCTACATAGACTGCCTAAGGGACTGGCTCTTGACGGCCCATAAAGTCATTAAAGAAAAGGTTTAAATATTCCATGTGCCTACAGCGACTCAATTATAAGTTTATCAAGCGACGAGACTACTTTTTGTGCGAAAAAAACATAAATAACGACTTTATTCCACTATTCCATTACTTCCTTATTGGCGCATGCGCGAGAACTGAGACGAGGACGTTCTCATTCGTCTACTTCTTGTTACCGGCTGCTCACCGCTTAGGAGTTTTACCGCCCCCTACCGTATAAAATCAATATATCAGTTACTTGACAAGTGAAATCACATATTAAGTCTTATTTTCTAAAATGCAAATGTGAAATATCTGCCATTGTTGGCAAGACAAATTTTCTCATTTTCCCTTTGAATTAATTGTTTTTTCTGACCCCATTGGCAGATTTTTGTTCTCGTTTTAAGCATAACTCACTTGATTTTGCCACATTTGAGTCATTTTGCTTCTGAAGTGACAGTATGTTGTTTTAAGAATTACTGAGGAAGAGCATCATATTTTGCAGTATTTGTTCAACTTTTGTCTCTTTTAACCCGTAGATATGAGTTCTGTGACCACAGTTCTGGTGATGCTGGGAAAGTTCGGTCTGTCGGCCGCGTTCTCGATCGTGTACCCAGCGACGGCTGAGCTTTACCCCACCGTGGTGAGGGGCACGGCTTTGGGCACCTGCTCCATGGCCTCCAGAGTGGGCAGCCTTACCGCACCATACTTCATCTACTTAGGTCAACTGGTCAACTAATCCTTTAAGATTGTTTAGATATCTGTGCTGAAAAATGACAAAAATACTGACAAAGTAATGAATTCGGCCCATGATGTAGAGGGAGAAAACACATCAAAACTGAAATAAAGCTCTTGCGGTTTTGAAGTGTTTCTCGCTCTACATCATTTGTATAAAAACTGGTTTTGAGAGCAGATGGCCTGTGGATCAAATCTATTACTTCATCAGTTACTCACCCTTGTTTCATTCCAAACCTATATGTATATCTATTTTAACCAAATTAGATGCAGTACTATTTTAAAAGACGGGAAAGGAGTTAAAAATCTATATATATGATGTGTGTAACTTCTGAAACATGCGTATCAAAAGCCCTGTTGTGTTGTTCTGCTACAGGAGGCTTCTACAAGTCTTTGCCGTACATCTTGATCGGCAGTCTGAATGTCCTCTCCGGCTTGCTGTACCTTCTTGTCCCGGAGAGTTTCGGATCTCCTTTACCCGAGAACATCAGTCAGATGAAGACTTTAGTTTGGTAAGATGGATGCGAGCGGCGCCCCCTGCTGTCTACTCTAGCATTAGCTTTACAAACCGTGTTGTTCAGCACTGACCATAATTACTCATATTAGCATGCTGGGCTGTTAGCGCTAATATTTCACCATGGTCATGCAATGTAAATCACAGATGTTCTCAATGTATCAGGCTCTATTTTTCTATTTTTACTTTTATTTTATTTAAATGAGAAATATTGAGAAGTGATACAATTTTAAATTGCTTGACGTTTCTTTTGTTGTGCACTGTAAATAATAGCATGTTTTTTCCAGGTGTAAAAGAAGGCCTTCGACTTGCAGCTCCACCGACAGTAAATGTGAAGAGGAGTACGAGTCTGAACGCTTTTAATCAATCCAAGGATTATTAATGATTAGAAAACTCTTTAAACTAACTTTTCCACTGTAAAAAGGCAGAACTTTTTATAACTTTTGGAATAGAGCCTCTATTTGTAATAACTATTTCTGTAAAATATAATATGGTTCATTTATGAAATTTTCTTTGGTCCTAATGTAATGAAGGCTACTCTATGTAATAATACATGTTTCCTTTAAATGATAAAGTCTTTCTTCGATGGAATATCGACAAACAAACTGGTCTTTCCTATTGGACACAATGAAAAAGAAAAGAAAAATCTGATTGTGACTCTCCTGTTCTGGCCAGAAGAGTCAGAGAAAAAAACTAATATTCCCAATCTTGGTATCACAGGGATGAGATTGACCCAATCTGGGCTATTTTTATAAAGAATATCACCATTGTTCCAAATAAAGTACTGTTGATGACAACAAATTCATTCAAAACATAAAAAAGAACTCATATGCTGTTTATCATTACTTTTAATAACAATAAATCAATGCATTTGCTTAAAACGTTGTTGCAAGAAATACACTCACGTCTGGCTGCTAGATAAGGTTGTTCAGATGCTTTTAAACTTTCTGTTCAGGTATATTCTGTTACGTAAGTTTCCTGTTTGTGTTTTGAGCATATCATGTGGGATAGAGAATGAGATTATATTATATTATAGGATGTGATTTTGAACACAGCCTCTGAGTGTCGACTTTGAGTGCTGTCAATTCACAGTATATCCCTGTAGGCTATTTTCTCAAATACGACAAATATTACCCAGAATGCATTTTTTTTATATGGCATATTACTGTTTTAATGGAAAATGACATAATTTGCCCATTTTTTTACAGCAAAGATTAACAGTGTAGACATAAAAAGTTTATGTAACTGATCAAATGAATCAGGGACACATAATGGCGCAGTGGATAAGAGACACACACGTGCCTTTGGTGTCGGATCCACTGTGAGACACCAATGTGTCCCTGAGCAAGACACTTAACCCTTAGTTGCTCCAGAGGCGTGTGACCTCTGACATATATAGCGATTGTAAATTGCTTTAGATAAAAGCGTCAGCTAAATTACTACAGTGAGGAAAATAAGTGTTTGAACACCCTGCTATCATGGATGAGTCTGAAATTGATCATCATATATTCAAATCATATATTGTGATTTCTGGATTATTATTATATATTTTTTTGATTATGTCAGTCTCTCACAGTGGACATGCACCTACGATGACAATTTCAGACCCACAGTGGGAGAACATTTTGCAAAATAGCAGGGTGATCATACACTTATTTTATTTTTATCTTATTATTAAAAGTACTTTCAAGAAATCCTTTGGATAATTTTGACAGAGGAAGAGCAAAAATCAGGAGACTATGTGATGATAAAAAATGTGTTTATTGAATACTCTCAGCTGTTTCAGTTCTCAGCCAGACTTTACATGGCCAGCTCAAATTCAACAAATATTTCCTTTGACACACTCCCTGATCCTTTTGTAGTCAATTCAGCATATAACACAATATTTAGCTGCAATACAAAAATAATATCTTTTTTTAAGGAATGAATCTGAATATACATTTTGAAATGTTCATTTATCTCAGACTCGACAGCAAGGCTTTAGTAAAGCCAGGATTTTATGGTCGATTCTCAGAGAATGTAATGACCGATAGCAGAGCCATCTCTGATTCAATTGGTTTGCTGAGTGAATATCGGGGTCGGTGGGGTCGTGTCGATGACCCCTCAGTGGATAGGGCCATGAGTGAGTATCTGAGTGAATTTCTCGGCCGGTGGGATAGACTCTGTGTCTCCGCAGCTGATGTTGCGAAAAGCAACCTTGTAGTTTTCCTAAAAACTGTACTGACTGATTTATTCTATACCTTGAATGCAATGTACGTAGCTTTCGCTGAAAGCATCTGCAAAATGCATTATTGTTAAATGCTGATGTTTGACTTGTCTCCGCTTGATTCCTGAAGAAAGCACAGTTCAGGTCACTTCTTATTCCAGTGCTTTCCAATTTGTACACAGTGTCACACCAGAGATCTGCACGATCTTCTATTTTCATGATATCAGTGACTTTAAACTTCTCATATGGAGGAATCAGCACCTCTTCCTCCTCAGGAAAAGTAGAGTAGTATTTCACATCTGCACCTTCACAAGTTTTGATTTCAAAACAAGACTTATTTCCAAATAGCGTTGCTACAGTACGATCGAGAGAGGATGAAGCAAATCGGCCAAAACGAACCTCTTTGTTCAGAACATTATTATCAAATTCAACATCTGTACCCCGATAGGTTAATTTGCATACATTTTGCACTTCCTTTAGTATCTGTATTGCTTCTGCTAGCAAAAAGTAAAGTGAATACCATGTAAATATCTTGTTTTCATATTTTTGTTTATCAGCACTAACAGCATTATTGAAATCCTGATGCAAATCAAAATGCGAGTTAGTGTACACATAAATGGCTACTGAATGATTCAATGTCAAGTTATCATAAACGGGGATCGTGGCATTCTCTTTACTCCTCTGCCAAACTGTTTTAAATATAGGCGAGTTATTGAGTTCCTTCTCTAACAATTCTGTCTTCACCTGGTCTGACATGTTCATTTTGCAACCAACAAAAACGTCATCGACTGAATTCTCTTCCATATCCAATGGAAATATCTGTTCTTCATCATCATCAGTTCTGTGATCCTGCAGTAATCATAATGATCAATCATCAGTATCAGCATTCCTGTCTGCAATCTGTTAAATTATCACTGCTCAGCATTTATATTAGTCCACGCTCAGAGGCTGCGTTTACACTTGGCATTAACATGCGACCTGTAGCCGGATGTTGCCCACACACACACAGTCTAAACGCACTTCTGATGGGAATGTTCTCCGATCAGTGAGTCTCGGTTCGGGTGCATTGTGATCAGATCTCAGTGTAATGTAAACGCAATCAGCCATTAATCTTTTTATTAATTTTTTTTCCCACTGAACTCATATACAACCTAATTTCTAAGTTAGAATTACTTTGATTATAGTAGCACTGTCCTTGTGCAGCATAATATTTTTAGTATTTTCAGAGTAATCCAAACGTTGTTGAGTCAAAAAATCGTCTTTTGAACACACACAGACATCAGGAATCAGTGTATGTATCTCAACAATGGTGACAAACAGAATAAACAGATCAACTCTGAACATTAGAAAACAAGTGACAAGTAGTCACATAAAAACCGCAGGAATAAAATAAAATAGTAAGAATAAAGGAAATTACTGAGACAATTAAGATAATTGTTTATTGATATTGCAATGCATCATGGGAACCATGAATGAGTTTTGATTGGTGGCACCCAGAATGCACTGCAACATGCTTTGTAATTGTCACCATTGTTGAGGTTCACTGGCTGATTGTTGATGTCTAATGAAAAAACTATATAGTTTGTCGAACAGCTTTTAAGAATTTTTTATGATTACACTAAAAAGGGTTAAATATATTATGCTGTATAAGGATAGTGTTGTTATAACTTAACTCAGATATTAGACTCGATTAGAGTTCAGTGATTCAGTTTAAGTAATGATTATGTTATAACACAACCAACATGATTAGATTTTATTTTCTCTTTGCTCATTTGGCTCTTACAGCACCCAAACGAAATCTAAAGTTAAAAATCTAAGGGTCAACTCTCAAAATGTGTGATTTTCTCCTTCAGTGATTCTGTTTGTTAACATCAGGTGTCTTCAATAATGCTCAATCGTCACTCAATGAATCACTAATTATCTCATTAACTTTAACAATGCTTCAGTGTTCATTTAACACTCTGAGTGTGGACTCAAACACTGGGGATTTTGCTGCGTAGAACACAAGATCACCTGTCCTAGAACAGCAGAAATGAGAAGAGCTTCAATGATCAGCAGCATCTTGATTCAGTCAAATCCCTCCAGTAGATCTGGTGATGTGCAGATGCTGAAAGACAACAAGAAATTATAAGAGTCAACATAAACCCTATCAACATAACAACACAAAATAAAAAAAAATAAAGGAAGGAAAAACCAACTGTACTCTTAGTACCAATTATATTAATCACTAACATGTGGTCTTAGTTGTCCTTTTTGTGAGGCTCTTCAGGAGCAAGGATGAGAGAAGGAGATCAGAAAAGGCATCAAGCCACCAGTATTTAAACTAACATAAGAGGAACTTTGCTTTTTCATATCACAAAAAAAAAAAAATTAAAAAAATGAAATCCAGTCAGATATACTATATTTGTCACGGTCTGTCGTCCTCACCTGTTTTGTCCCGTCATCTGCACCACACTTCCCCGGATCCTTTTGTTCCTCTCCCGGACTCACTTCCCCAATCAGCCACCTGTTCCTCGTCCTGTCATGATCATTTTCACCTGTGTTCACCCCAATCAACCCTGATTCCTCTGTGTATTTAGTTTCCTCTGTTTCATTCTGTCCTTGTCGGTCAATGTTGAATGTTGCGTTGTGATACCCTGTCTTCCTGCCTGTGTTTGAAATAAATCGATGTTCTTCGTGATTCTGGAATCTGCCTGTCCTTCTACCTGAACCCGCACCGTGACAGATTGACCGACCCAAAAGAAAAAAAAAGAAGAAGAAAAATGGACATTCCCGCCGTGGCTCTCCTTTGCCTTGATCAAGAAGACCGTTCCCTGGAATCCCATACTAGGGATTTTCTGGAGTTGGCGTGCCTCACTCACTATTCTGACCGCTCGCTGAGTGAGTTCTACATCGCCAGCCTCAGCGAGCGGTCCCGGGCACGCCTCCCAGGGAACGGTCCAGAAGATTTCGCCGCCTGTGTAGAGTGGGTGCTGGTGTGCTGTGAGTCTCCATTCACGGTGGAGGAAGTCACCAGCACCCCTCCAAAGCTCGAGCTCTCCTCTCCGCTGGTTCCGCCCAGCCTCGCCGAGCCCGAGATTTCTTCGCTGGTTCCGTCCAGCCCCGTCCAGCCAGCCCCAGAGACCGTCCAGCCAGCCCCAGTGACCGTCCAGCCAGCCCCAGAGACCGTCCAGCCAGCCCCAGTGACCGTCCAGCCAGAGCCAGAGCCCGAGACCGTCCAGCCAGAGCCAGAGCCCGAGACCGTCCAGCCAGAGCCAGAGCCCGAGACCGTCCAGCCAGAGCCAGAGCCCGAGACCGTCCAGCCAGAGCCCGAGACCGTCCAGCCAGAGCCAGAGCCCGAGACCGTCCAGCCAGAGCCAGAGCCCGAGACCGTCCAGCCAGAGCCAGAGCCCGAGACCGTCCAGCCAGAGCCAGAGCCCGAGACCGTCCAGCCTGAGCCAGAGCCCGAGACCGTCCAGCCAGAGCCAGAGCCCGAGACCGTCCAGCCAGAGCCAGAGCCCGAGACCGTCCAGCCAGAGCCAGAGCCCGAGACCGTCCAGCCAGAGCCAGAGCCCGAGACCGTCCAGCCAGAGCCCGAGACCGTCCAGCCAGAGCCCGAGCCCGAGACCGTCCAGCCAGAGCCAGAGCCCGAGACCGTCCAGCCAGAGCCAGAGCCCGAGACCGTCCAGCCAGAGCCAGAGCCCGAGACCGTCCAGCCAGAGCCAGAGCCCGAGACCGTCCAGCCAGAGCCAGAGCCCGAGACCGTCCAGCCAGAGCCCGAGACCAGGATCCCACCCAGCCTCCCTCTCCCGCCTCCTCTCATCTGTCCTCCCTCTGCTCTCCTGCCCTTCAGCTCCCCTGACCCAGCCTGGTCCGTGGATCCCCGGTCTTCGCTTCACACCTCCTCCATCTGGACACTTCCTCGGCCCCCGGTCCCATTGGCTCCCCCGTGGCTCCTACCTCCCTCAGCTCCTCCATGGTCCCACAGTCCACCAGCTCGGCCAGGCTCCCTCGTCCCTCCAGATTCCCTACGCTCCCTCGTCATCCTCCCTTCACCTTTGGACTTCCTTCCCTTGGCTCCGCCCCGTCATGTCACCCCCCCGGTTCAGTTGGACTCCTCACTCCCTCCAGTCACCCGTCAGCCCTCACGCCCTCTGACCTCACCGTGTCCCTCTGTGCCCCTGTCATCACTTCTGTCACCTGAGCCTGCGGTGTCACCATGGTCCCTCGGTCCCTCCTCAGCACCACATGTCGTCAGTCACTCAGCTTCACCCTGGTCTCCCCTCCCATCCGCTCCGCCCCTGTCAGTCGGCCCCCTGGTGTTGTCAGCCCCACTACCATCGGCTCCACCAGGGGTCCTCCCTCCAGCTGCTCCGCCCTGGTCTCGCCCTCATCATGCTCCGCCCCGGTCTCGCCTTCAGCCTGCTCCGCCCCGGTCTCGCCTTCAGCCTGCTCCGCCCTGGTCTCACCCTCAGCCTGCTCCGCCCTGGTCTCGCCTTCAGCCTGCTCCGCCCTGGTCTCACCCTCAGCCTGCTCCGCCCCGGTCTCGCCTTCAGCCTGCTCCGCCCTGGTCTCACCCTCAGCCTGCTCCGCCCCGGTCTCACCCTCAGCCTGCTCCGCCCTGGTCTCGCCCTCAGCCTGCTCCGCCCTGGTCTCGCCCTCAGCCTGCTCCGCCCTGGCCACGCCCTCAGCCTGCTCCGCCCTGGCCACGCCCTCAGCCTGCTCCGCCCTGGCCACGCCCTCAGCCTGCTCCGCCCTGGCCACGCCCTCAGCCTGCTCCGCCCTGGCCACGCCCCGCTCAGCCCCCAGTTCGTCCCCCCTCCTTCCTCTGTTCTGCGGCGTGAGGTCACGCCTTCCGGGAGGGGGGAGTAATGTCACGGTCTGTCGTCCTCACCTGTTTTGTCCCGTCATCTGCACCACACTTCCCCGGATCCTTTTGTTCCTCTCCCGGACTCACTTCCCCAATCAGCCACCTGTTCCTCGTCCTGTCATGATCATTTTCACCTGTGTTCACCCCAATCAACCCTGATTCCTCTGTGTATTTAGTTTCCTCTGTTTCATTCTGTCCTTGTCGGTCAATGTTGAATGTTGCGTTGTGATACCCTGTCTTCCTGCCTGTGTTTGAAATAAATCGATGTTCTTCGTGATTCTGGAATCTGCCTGTCCTTCTACCTGAACCCGCACCGTGACAATATTAGGCTTTCCTAGAATATTTGCATCAGGATATGAAACTGCATTTCTGCATTTTCTTAAACATCTGCATGGTTCTGTTTAGGCACTTTACTCATGTGTCATGCCTTGATTCAGTCATGAAGTGGTTGTTATTTGCCTTCATCATAACCCGAAAACTTTGGGTCTTCATATTCAAACCATGTTCAACGATAGCTGACATGATGCTGGAGAGACAAGTTCTAAAAGGAGTATGAACATTATTTTCGGCTGTAATAGAATATAGTTTTATAAATTCTACACAGCAAAGACTCCCGTGTTAAATTAACTCTCCTGGGAGTTTAGAGTGTTAAACAAAGACTGAAGCAGTGTTAAAGTTAATGAGATAGTTAAGTGAATAAATAAATAAGTCAAAATTGAGCATTATTGAAGATACCTGATGTTTTAACAGAACAACTGGTGGAGAAAAAGCACGATTTTAAAGTCACCATTATGAAATGAAATTAAATGAAATGCCCTTTTCAGCGACAGCCCAGAAACCTGACTGATCTAGAGAAGATCTGTGTGGAGGAGTGGGCCGAAATCCCTCCTGCAGTGTGTGCAAACCTGGTGAAACGTTTGACCTGTGTAATTGCAAATAAAGGCTACTGTACCAAATATTAACCTTGATTGAAATATTGAATTGATTGAAAAATCATAAATTGTGATTTCTGGATTTTTTATTTTTTTTTTAGATTATGTCTCTCACAGTGAACATGAACCTACGATGCCAATTTCAGACCACTCCATGACTTCTAAGTGGGAGAACTTGCAAAATAGCAGGGAGTACAAACACTTATGTTCCTCACTGTATTTAGGCACACACATATATCAGGAATAAGTGTATGAATCTCAACAATGGTGACAAAAGAATATTAAATTAGGAAAAGGAAATTACTAAGAAAATTAAGATAATAATTTATTCATACCGCAATGCATGAAGGAACCCATGATTTAGTTTTGATTGGTGGCACCCAGAATGCATTGCAACATGCTTTATAATTGTCACCATTGTTGAGATTCACATGTATGTGTTCCTTAGATAAAATACTTTTCTAAATTCTTTTGATCAGAACAACATTTATAAAATATTCAAAATTACACAGTGAAAAACGAACAGTGCTGTGGTAATCATTAAGGTAAACATAACTCTCTAAATTCAGGGATTTAGGTCTAATGGTAATTATGTCAAAACATAACCAACACCACCTGATCACCTTTTCTCTTAGTTCATCTGGTTGTTATAACTCAGTTACATCAGCCAAGCAAAGTCTAAAGTTAATAGTTTAAGGGTCATGAGCCCAACTAAAGCAAACACTGCTCTATAGTGACTTAAAAAATGATCTTTTCGCCTTCAGTGATTCTGTTTGTTAACATCAGGTGTCTTCAATAATGTTCATCATCACTCAATTACTCACTAATTATCTCAGTAACTTCAACACTGTAACTTGAACACTTTCAGTCACCCATAAGTTTATTTAACGCTTGAGTTTTTGCTGTGAGGCATTATTGTGGTCTTCTTGAAAGGGATTTATTTCAGCAGCTGTTACGAGAGGGCTATTTCATAATCCAGTCATATTTAGATTTTCTTAGAATCTCTGCATCAGGATATGAAACTGCACATGTTTTTCAATAAAGCAGCGTTTTGTTCCACTGTGGAACTTTACTCACGAGTGGTTGTTGTTTTCAGCTCTAATTCATCAGTGTACAAATAAATGGCAACTGAATTCACGTTCGGCAAGTTCTGGTTCTTGGCAAGTGTCTACACATTTTTTCTACCAAAGTTAATGTATATATAAATTTCCTTCTTCAGAGATGTATTTTCTCCACCAGGTGTGTCATGTTCTCTCTGCAGCCTCATATTTCTCATTAACATAATTCAGCCGTATCCAGTGGAAATATCTGTCCATCAACAGTGGCAGCAGTTCTGTGATCCTACAGCGACTGGAAGCTTACAGTGCAAGTATAAATATAACAAGGCATATAATACAATTTAAGAATAAAAATATAAAAACAGTATAAAGAGTCTGGAAAAATGTTTACAGATAATGAACAGTTCTTCCAGTAATATTATTAGAATGCCAGTTATCTGGTCTTTAATAATGTTCTCAAGAGGTTAGGGAAAATTAATTTCCTTTGTATGTAGACATGTTTTTTCTTTAATGTTTTAGTGAATCATTTAAAGGCATTTGCTATTGTAATGTTTAAAATACATCTAAATGTTGTTCTAAAAATGTTTTTACCCAGAAGTATCTCTGCATCAGGATATGAAACTGCATGTATCCATATTCTTAAAGCAAAGTTTGGTTCCCCATTATATGAAGTTGTATTAACCAAGTTTGGGTTCATATAAAATCAGATAATTAATCTAAGGCTGCGTTTACACTTGGCATTAACATGCGACCTTTTAATGTAATGTCGAAAAGGGGACCTTATTTCATTGTCTGTGGGATTGCCCTGAGATACAAAAGTTCTGGAATGAAGTTACAAAATGTATATTTAAGATGACCTTAAACCAAGTGCCTGACGATCCTGCACTTTGCATTCTTCATTTATATCCAAAGGACTGTATGTTAAACCACAACGAGAGGAAAATCACAGACCTATGTTTAGTACAAGCTAGACGCTTGATTTCTCTCTGTTGGAAAGATGTCAAGAGCCCTTCTATTGGTCGCTGGCTGAAAGAATTATCAGCATGCCTTATCCTTGAAAAGTTAACATACACAATGAAAAAGAAATCAGCCGAATTTAAAGAGATCTGGAATCCCTTTCTTGCATTTTTGGAGAATTGTGAGGCCAAGGAATCTCTGGAAACTTGAAGGTCATATATACCTAATTATCTATTCCTAAGCTATATATGATTGTGGGAGTGGATTCTTTTCTTTAAAAGTTTGATTGTTATACGCTTTGTTAAATGTATTTGTTAAAGGGATAGTTCATTTTGAAATTAATTTTTGATATGTTTTATCTTACCTCAAGGGCATCCAAGATGTAGGCGTCTTTGTTTCCACAGTATTTTCGATTTTGACATTTGTCAGTCAAACCGTTGTTGTCTATCAGTCATACACTGGAGGCTAAGGGGGTCCACCAAAGAGCAGCACAGAGAAGTCCAAATTAAACATGATTTAATGACTCGTAAATGTAAGTACACACTGATGGCCTAAGACACGAAACGAGCGGTTTGTGTGAGAAAACTAACAGTATTTATATCGTTTTACCTTGTGTAACCACAGCCATGACAAAATGATCTGACGGCACGGGCGCTTCGGTCTGGAAGTGATCGCTTGCGCGCCGACGTCACTCTTTGTTTATACAGAGATTTGGGAAGTTTTACCTTTCACTAAACATATTTAGATATACGGGAAACCGCAATGGAAGACGATTTCGGTATATCTAAATATGTTTAGTGAAAGGTAAAACTTCCGAAATCTCCGTGTAAATATTGAGTGACGTCACACGCAAGCGATCACTTCCGGCGTAACATTGAACTGATTCAGTTCGGTTCAGTTGGACATTGAACAACTGATTCAGATCACTGTGATTACACGAGGTAAAACGATATAAATACTGTTAGTTTTCTCACACAAACCGCTCGTTTCGTGTCTTAGGCCATCAATGTGTTCTTACATGTACGAGTCATTAAATCATGTTTAATTTGGACTTCTCTGTGCTGCTCTTTGGTGGACCCCCTTAGCCTCCAGTGTATGACTGATAGACAACAACGGTGACTGAAAAATGTCAAAATCGAAAATACCGTGGAAACAAAGACACCTACATCTTGGATGCCCTTGAGGGAAGATAAAACGTATCAAAAATTAATTTCAAAGTGAACTATCCCTTTAAATGTAAAATGTATATCCTTGTTAATTGTTAAAATATCAATAAAAACATGCGAACTTTATCAGGATGTTGTCCACATACACGTTGAAAAGACGAGTGTAGCGGCCTAAACGCGCTTCTGATGGGACTGTTCTCTGATCAGTGAGTCTCGGTTCGGAGGGAGTCGAGGACAGAAACTTTTAACTCTCTCTTTTTCAGCACTTTAGACGCAGTTACTCCGTTGAGCAACTCTTTAGACTCATCTTTAGAGCAATGCTTTAGACTCATTCGCATCTCCCTCGAACACGTCGAAGAAACAAAACCTGTCAAAATAAAAGTCTCCATCTGGGGCGGAGCTAGACTCTCAGTACAGTGGGGGCGGAGCTTCATCATGGGGCCCTCTGCTACCGTCATTTTAAAATGAAAACCGTTAAAAAAAGTAAAATATTTGATAAATGCATTGCATATGTAAGAATGTGTCACTTGTTGAGCCAAGTAATCTTATATGTTAAATAAAACACAAAGAAAAGCCACATTTTTTTTTACAAGTTTGTATTGACGAACAAAGAAAACAGTTTGCCAGTCAAGTAAAAATGTTTCAGCACCACAGACAGCGATATCTCATTGACAGCGATGGTGCTCGCAGAACGTAGACAGCAGAAATGCAACGTGCCACAGACGTTGCCGCAACGTAGGGTGTACTTTGCCTGTGCTGGGCCCCTTTCCTGTGACGCAAGATCGGCCCCTAATTGGCACGGGGCCCTGGGGCGGCCACACCCAAGCACCCACTTCAGCTCTCCATAGAGAAACATACCAGGAAATGTGATGAGCTTCTACAGAGAAGTTCTTTGACCAATGTGATCATTAGCTGTTGTAATGAGGCTGATAATGATGAATATAGAGATTTAAAGTGTAAATAATTGCTTATAGTTCTGGTTATGATATAAGAAAAATAACAACCGCAAAATATTTTGTTTGTAGTTATTTTCCTAAAAAGCTATTTAACAGCACTTTCAGAAGCTTGAATCAAAGTTTAGGCGATAAACCTTCAAGCTACAATTCTTTCAAGTCAAGTCAGCTTTATTTCTTCAGCGCTTTCCACAATGCAGATTGTTTCAATGATGCAAACAGAGTTCAAAAGTAAAATAAATTTCGTAAAATAAATTAAAAAGAATGTGTCTGTCGCTGCAAGAGGAAGGGGAATTTATTTTGATTAAAAACTATGAGCTTGGAGTGTGTCCTACAGCAAAATAAGAACAGTCATTTTTTTTATTTCATGGTAATTTTAATATATCACATGTCATTTGGTTGTATGATTATTAATAAAGAACATATATTATTATCCTAGCCATCCTAAACTAGCATTAAACATAGCGCTATGCTAAACGATTTGTTTATTGTAGGATTAGCCTATTTGTTGCTTGGTTACGTTCCTCGAGCGAGCGTGGACACGCCCACTGTAACGACAGCTGTTCAGTAACGTTAATGATAGTTTCGGGTATTGTTGTGTAAAAGGAGGATAGGTTAAGAACAACTGCACCGTTTCGCGTTTAGTTTGTTTTTTAATTATGATTATTAGGAAATCGTCAAGAGTAAAAAGCACCGGGCGCAACGTGACGCCGCTGAGAGCCGCTCCGCCATTCTCCAGTACGAGGACACGCGTTTTCAGGTCTAATTCTGCGTTACTAATCGACTCGTTTTAATGTCATGTTTAACTTGTAGATTTCCAAACACACGGGTCTAACCGCAGTCGAGGCGCTCGTCGAGGACGCCAACTTTCTGAGTTAAAAGGACATGGATGCAACAAACACAGGTGGGATTATTACAAATAACTTTCTCATAAATTATAAGTTCAGATTCAGATATTAGATCAGATTGAGATAGTAGCAGAAATTGTAGATCAGATTCAGATATTAGCTCAAATATTAGATCAGATTCAGATATTAGCTCAAATATTAGATAAGATTTAGATATTAGCAGAAATTGTAGATCAGGGGCTCGTTCTTCGTACGTCGCTAACTCAGTTAGCTGGATTTGATTGTTGGCGATTTGCCATGATCTTGGATCGTTTGGTTCTTCGACGCTCATCCTGGACTTGCTGTCATAGCAACAGGTCCGTCAGCTTGAACCTGCTCGCGAGCAGGCTTATTTCATGTAAACAGGATTAGATCGCGGCTGATACGGAAGTCCTTCAGCGCAGCGCGATAGTGTAGCTTAATTTCTGAGATTTATTTTTGTTTTCTCGTGAAACGATCGTCGTGAGGGTGTCGTTTAAATACATTATTATTTTGTTGGAAATGCACATTAATGTTCGATTCGATATCGGGCTTCAACAACAGCACAAAATGTTTGCATTGCCCTAAAATTATTTGCGAGTGGCTTCCTTTACACTATTGGAGATGCGGAGAAGCTTTCTGTCATGCCATTCGCAAAGTAACGTTAGTGCTCTTAGTTTTTTTTTTTTTTTTTTTTTTTGCCAACTTAGGGTAGGCTATATTATAATTTTTAATGAAGATAATGCAATCATGATGACCAATGCCGATTATGACTTACAGTCCCTCAGGCTTAACTTACATGATTGGTGCCATACACTGTAGACTACACACGTTCCCATCAAGGCCTCAATGAAGGGATTTTGTGAGCAGAAAGGGGGCTTATACAGTGCAGCCAAATTACTATTACAATTTTTAATATTCCAGATTTGGAATATTATATCACTTTTTTTAAAAGGCATTTGACTGAGTAAAATCTTTTAGATGGTGTGACCATGTTCTATATCACAAATCAGTGTGAAAGCAAAATGGCCAGGATCTGTGCATGACTCAAGAATTTTAAGAGATTCACATTTATGAACATTATTTGAACATGGTAAGGAAAATTATAAATATCAAACTCACGGTATTACATACACTTATGCTGAGAACTGCATTTTTCCATTAAACAGGTGATTACAACAGGATCCTGCATGGAGACAGGTGTTTTATGACCCCATTCCCTGACCCAAACCCCAGACCAGTTACAATGCAGCTCTAGGACAAGGGCACACAATGACATGAGCTTTCTGCACACAGTATCACTGCTGTGTGCAGACTCTTCTGTAGGCCTTTCTGTACATGTGGACTCCTGTCAGAAATAATAGGCATAGGCACAAGTATAAATCAATTAAAGCCATCAATTCAATTAAAGTACTTCCTCCAAAGGACAGTCATCTGAGAAGTTTTCTTCACTCTCCAGTGCAATGTAATTGATAACTCATGGCAAAATATTTTTTACATTAACATACGTTATCAGTTTTTACTTTCACAAGACAAAGCAATTTATCATTACTCAAGATTTAACAGTTGAAATGACTAAACCAGCCAATTTGGATTATAGGTCTACTTCATTTAATGCAGCAACACATTATTTCACAGTGTACAAAGATAATTTAAATCTCATTCCCCAGTAATGAAGGTGTTGCTGCTACTGGTCCCTGATGTGAGTCTGGAAGAACTGAACCCAGGGATGCCCTTCACAACAGGGCAATTCACATTCAACCCAAGGGTCAGCTCTTCTGCCAGGGTCAGGAGCATCATTATTAGTTTTTTCTCAGCCTTTTTCCTGTTTGCTTTTATAAACAGACAATCATTTATTTAACAGTGCCTCACTAGTAGGCCTATAAGGCCTAAAATTACCATTAAGTAAAATATTTTTGTACTTCACTTTCACCATGTTTATTATTATAGTGTGGTGACTCGACATTACAATGAACAAAGTAATTATGAAATTATGAAAATAAAAATAAAATAATAATCAGTTATTAAAACATCTAACATGGCCACCACAAACGCATTTAATTTGTCTTCTAGTTTTGCCAGCACTCTCTCCTGGCTTTTGCACACTTTGAGGTGTTCCCTGGCGTTTTAATTAAAGACTGAAATTCGGCATAACCTTGCATTAAAAGCGCTTGCTCTGCTTGGGAGAAAAACTGGGCGTGTTCTTTGGCCATGCTGAACAGCCAATAGCAGCGCTGCTGATCACTGGTTCTGCTATCGATACATGTCCCCTTTTATACCAACGCGAGAACGCGCAGTTATCTCAGATAACTCAATCCAGCGATACTAATCATAAACAACAGATGTGTTCGAAGAACCCAATTAGCCGGATCATGATTAGCACGATGATATCATCTTAGATGTCTCATTTGATCTCGGATGTTTTAAGCAACGTACGAAGAACGAGCCCCAGATTCAGATATTAGCTCAAATATTAGATCAGATTAGCACAGAATAAGCTTTGAGCCGCTGTCCACGATCATGTCAAGGATCAGATTATCTGAAAAGCGGATGTTTATAAAAGTGCAGCAAGTTTTTTTCCATCTAGTGGTTTAGAGGAGAACAAAATCAAAGGCTTTTCCCCCAGTGTTCATTTAACCTTTAACTGGAAATAAGTCTTCGGGCTTTATTGTGTTATCCCTGACTACTTTTGTATTTGATTTTAATGTATGAAACAGTTTCTTACTGTTTTTCATATTTTTTTATTTAAGTTGTCAAAATAAAATCTCTCTCTCTCTAACCCTGTTGTACCCTACCATTCACCACTGGACAAGCTCAAATAAACATTATAAATACGAAATATTTATATAAATCTCATAAACCCTATGAGTGAATATGACTTCCCACCAGGACTTAAACGCAACAATGTTTCTGTGTTTGTCATGTGTGAATGTGTAGTTTGAGGGCAGTGACTGCGGGTGTGAGCGCAGGAGCGCCGGCTTCAGGACGCAGGAGAGATCGTGGCGAGGTACGGCTCTGCTCTCAACAGATGAACAGTCTCTAGTCTCTCTGCTCTCACTGATGAACTGACGGATGAAGTCTCTAGTCTCTGCTCTCGTGTGTGTTCCCCGCAGGGCCGGCCGACCGCACGCGTCTCCGAGGACTGCAGCCAGGACTCCAGCAGTGGGTTCCGGAGCTGAAGTTCAGTGTTCTGCGTGTGTGTTTCCTCCAGCCGGTGACACACACTCTCTGTCTCTGCGCAGGTCTAACGCTGCCCTCTGGCGTCTCCAGCTTTCTGTTGGACTGCTTGGATGTCGATTCTCCAACTTTAGACGACGACTCGACGCTTTCATCCATCGAGGAGTTTCGCAAAGCTGACAATTATGGTATTATTAATGCGTTTGAGAACTTGTGTACTTTACAATTGTTCCAAGCAGTGCTGGTCCATGCTTCATGTCAGCAAATAAAGCTTCATCCTTCCCTCACACATCTTCCCCTCACGGGCAAAATGACCTGAAGCCATAAAATTATATTTCTTTTCTTGTATTTTTTTTTTTTTATGAATTTTTTTGGGAGATTTTTTTTGTTATTTTTTATTTCATTTACCTTTAACTTACTAGATTTAAAGTAAATATAAATAAGTGTAATTAAATAAATAGTAATCTAAGCACATTTCTCACATTCTTTTAACAATATCTCACAATTTCATGCATAACCCTTTTAGTTCCGCTCTAAATACTCTGTAAAAAATATTGTTATTTAACTTAAAAAATGAAGTAACCTCGTTGCCTTAATTTAAAAAAACGAAGGAGATTGATTTAATCATCAGAAACTCAAAATAATACGTTATCTGAACTACTTAAATTATTTAAGTTGATTTGACAAAATAAAAAATGTTGTGATTACAAATCACAAAAATATTTTTTACAGTGATCTCACATTGGGTGTTTTTGCCGACCTCTTGTGGGACATATATAATATAACATGATATTTCATGACTCTAGCCACTAGATGGCCTTATAGGTCTACAGGTGAAACTCGGAAATGTTGAATATGGTGCAAAAGTTCATTTATTTCAGGATTTTAACTTAAATGGTGAAACTAAAGTCAAGCCTTTATTTGTTATAATGTTGATGATTATGTGTTTTCAGTGTGCATTCAGATACACATGTAGACATTATAAAATCATTTTGTGGTAAATTTTTAGTTAGAATATTTCACGTGAATGATGATGATTTCAGGATTTGAGCTGCTTATTCCTCTAATTCTTGATTCAAACCGATCTCAGTGCAGTTCATTATGTGGAGTGTGTGACTAGTGTTGTCACTGCCCGTTCTGCGCCGCAGATGATGCGAGCGGCTGGCGTGCCGGAGACGCACCGGAGGCCGGGGTGAAGAACTCCACTCTCCTGGACCTCAGCCACGCTCAGGACCTCGCGCTGCAGCCCGCGCCTAACCTGTCCTCCATCACTGGAGCTGACGGCACTGATGTGTTCCTCAGCCGCTCTCCTGCACGGGGGCCCTCGCAGACCTCGGCCTCAGGTACAGCATCAATAACTCAAGTGTGTGTGTGTGTGTGTTTGAATTGATGAAGCTGTTGAGTTGTGTTGTCAGGAGCTGAGCTGAGATCAGCACAGGAGAGAACGCCTGTGAACTCCCGACCTGTCGCTCCTTACCCTGCTGTCAGAAAGGTGATTAATACTCAAAATGTGTGTCTGAACTTGTGTGTCTGAGCTTGTGTGTCGGAGTGTGTGTCCGAGTCCAGTGCCTCTGAGTCCAGTGCGCCCGAGTCCTGTGCGCGTCCGAGTCCAGTGCGTGTCCGAATCCAGTGCGTGTCCGAGTCCAGTGCGTGTCCGAGTCCAGTGCGTGTCCGAGTCCAGTGTGTGTCCGAGTCCAGTGCGTGTCCGAGTCCAGTGCGTGTCCGAGTCCAGTGCGTGTCCGAGTCCAGTGCGTGTCCGAGTCCAGTGCGTGTCCGAGTCCAGTGCGTGTCCGAGTCCAGTGCGTGTCCGAGTCCAGTGCGTGTCCGAGTCCAGTGCGTGTCCGAGTCCAGTGCGCGTCCGAGTCCAGTGCGCGTCCGAGTCCAGTGCGTGTCCGAGTCCAGTGCGTCCGAGTCCAGTGCGCGTCCGAGTCCAGTGCGCGTCCGAGTCCAGTGCGTGTCCGAGTCCAGTGCGTGTCCGAGTCCAGTGCGTGTCCGAGTCCAGTGCGTCCGGACACGCACTGCGTCCGAGTCCATTGCGTCCGAGTCCAGTACGTCCGAGTCCAGTGCGTGTCCGAGTCCAGTGCGTGTCCGAGTCCAGTGCGTCCGAGTCCAGTGCGTCCGGACACGCACTGCGTCCGAGTCCATTGCGTCCGAGTCCAGTACGTCCGAGTCCAGTGCGCGTCCGAGTCCAGTGCGCGTCCGAGTCCAGTGCGTCCAAGTCCTGTGCGCGTCCGAGTCCAGTGTGCGTCCGAGTCCAGTGCGCGTCCGAGTCCAGTGCGAGTCCGAGTCCAGTGCGCGTCCGAGTCCAGTGCGCGTCCGAGTCCAGTGCTCGTCCGAGTCCAGTACGTCCGAGTCCAGTGCGCGTCCGAGTCCAGTGCTCGTCCGAGTCCAGTGCGTCCGGACACGCCATGCGTCCGATTCCAGTGAGTCCGAGTCCAGTACGTCCGAGTCCAGTGCGCGTCCGAGTCCAGTGCGTCAGGACACACACTGCGTCCGAGTCCAGTGCGCGTCCGAGTCCAGTGCGTCCGAACACACACTGCGTCCGATTCCAACGCGTCCGAGTCCAGTGCGCGTCCGAGTCCAGTGCGCGTCCGAGTCCAGTGCGTCCAAGTCCTGTGCGCGTCCGAGTCCTGTGCGCGTCCGAGTCCAGAGCGCGTCCGAGTCCAGTGCTCGTCCGAGTCCAGTACGTCCGAGTCCAGTGCGCGTCCGAGTCCAGAGCGCGTCCGAGTCCAGTGCGTCAGGACACACACTGCGTCCGATTCCAGTGAGTCCGAGTCCAGTGCGCGTCCGAGTCCAGTGCGCGTCCGAGTCCAGTGCGTCAGGACACACACTGCGTCCGAGTCCAGTGCGCGTCCGAGTCCAGTGCGTCCGGACACACACTGCGTCCGATTCCAACGCGTCCGAATCCAGTGCGCGTCCGAGTCCAGTGCGCGTCCGAGTCCAGTGCGTCCGGACACGCACTGCGTCCGAGTCCAGTGCGCGTCCGAGTCCAGTGCGTCCGGACACGCACTGCGTCCGAGTCCAGTGCGTCCGAGTCCAGTGCGCGTCCGAGTCCAGTGCGCGTCCGAGTCCAGTGCGTCCGAACACACTGCGTCCGATTCCAACGCGTCCGAGTCCAGTGCGCGTCCGAGTCCAGTGCGCGTCCGAGTCCAGTGCGCGTCCGAGTTCAGTGCGCGTCCGAGTCCAGTGCGTCCGGACACGCACTGCGTCCGAGTCCACTGCGTCCGAGTCTAGTGCGTCCGGACACGCACTGCGTCCGAGTCCAGTGCGTCCGAGTCCAGTGCGTCCGAACACACACTGCGTCCGAGTCCAGTGCGCGTCCGAGTCCAGTGCGCGTCCGAGGCCAGTGCGTCCGGACACGCACTGCGTCCGAGTCCAGTGCGCGTCCGAGTCCAGTGCGTCCGAGTCCAGTGCGCGTCCGAGTCCAGTGTGTCCGAGTCCAGTGCGTCCGAGTGCGCGTGTTTAAGTGTAACTGAGCGCGTGTGTCTGAGTGAGTGTGAGTGTGTGAGTGTGTGTGTGTGTGTGTGTGTATATACAGTATCATAACTCAACATCCACAGTAAAATTAAAACATTTTACCTTTCAGTGTTTTGCGGAGAAAAGAAAACTGTTGAAATACAGAAAGGTGACGTTCAGTGACATTGTGAGCGTCCGGAACCTGTCGAGCCACAAGGGAGTTCAGAATGAGCGGCGGGATCAGCGGGAAAACTGGGATCATCCGGACGGAAGCGGATCCTCAGATAAACCTGTGAGGTTCTTTGACTTTGCAGATGCGTGTGAGAAAGAAGCATTTCTCCACAGACGGAAACAAACACACACGTTCACGTTTCCCGCCAAACCGGTAACGTTTCCCGCATTCCTCATAAACACATGCGGACACCGACAGGGGTTTCATGTTCCTCCGGGAATGTGTTTCTGTTCCCATAGATCCCGTCCAGCACCTGAGGGGTCTGACCAGCAGAGGGCGCCGCTGTCGTCATCAGAGGGACGGATACTCGTGTATCTGGGTGAAACAAACACAAGCCATAATTCATATACATCTCGTCCACTTATGGAACATGCATGTGTACAATGAAGTCAAGTTATGTAATATATACTTAACTGATGATTTTAATGCAGTCTCAATAACGAGAAGCCAACAGTGGAATAGAGGAGATGTTACATGGAATTTAATGGGAAGAGAACCTTATAAGTTAAATTATTTATACTAGATGTAGATATGTAAAAGATGAATAAATACAAAAAGACAAATAATAAAGAACATTGTGCAAAACTGATCTTGATTTAACAAATTATCTTGTGCATAACAATTATGAAATGCTTTTTTTAATGCCTATTAAAGGAGCAATCATGCTTTGGTGAATCATAAGTATGTCATACTAAGTGATAATTATGAGATTAAAAATGCCAAGTAATATTTTTGACTTTTACTCATAATTATGAAATTATGACATGTTATGTAATTATGAGGTTGAAATTAATCATACAAATTTTTACGTATCTTATAAATATGAGTTCTTGTCTAATTATTTTGACTGTTTGTGTATTAATTATGATTTGAGTGAGTGTGTGTGTGTGTGAGAGAGAGAGAGAGAGTGTTTCTGAGTGATTTTCAGTGTGTGTGTGAGAGAGAGTGTGTGTGTATTAGTTATGATTTGAGTGAGTGTGTGTGTGAGTGAGTGAGTGAGTGAGTGAGTGAGTGTGAGTCTCAGTGTGTGTGAGCGTGAGCGTTTTTTTAAATTATTTTTTATTTAACTTTTTCTTATTACAATAAACAATAAAGAAATCCAATAAAGAAAGAACGTATGACAATCTCAAAATGTACAATAAATATTATTGTACAAACCAAGATTCACACCTCCCGCACATCATCCAAAAAGACATCCTCTGCACTGTTCGCATGATCAAGGGAGAACAAAACATGAAAAAAAGCGTGTGTGTGTCACGTGAGTATTATTTATGATTTATGGTCCGTGTTTAATTGTGAGTGTGTGTATTATTTAATTATGATTTATGATTTGTTTTTCTCGTGTGGCGGGAATATGTTTTACATATATTACAGCTGAATGCATCGGTTTTAAACGTAACCCCAAAACATCAACACAGCCATTCTGACCACGTGGTGTAAAAACCAAAATATCAGCCAATCAGGAGCGCGGAGGGGAGGGCTGCAGATAACCGGCCAATCGGAGCGCAGTGGCGTTGCCAAGCAGCTCGTGTGACTAACGGCAGTCATATGACTGTCTCACAAATGGAGTCCGTGTGCTGTAGTCGAGTGTGCCTCAGGAATTAAACACAAAAGGGAGTTTTCCTTCAAATCGTGGGTCCATTATGGCCCCCACGCTGTTTCACAAGCTCTTCAACAAAAAAAATGCGCTTTCACCGCCCGCGAAGAGCAGCAAAGAGGACCAGGTGTTCAGGTACGTGTCGAGCTTCCGGAGAGCACACATATCATCACACACACTCCAGTGTGTTTTATATTTCTCTGAGGATACATCTGTCGGATTTTAAAGGCGTATTGTCTGTGGTTTTTGTAAGGTTTTCTCCATCTGTAGGCTCTACGTTTGAGCCTTAGCTAAGCTGATTGGTTCGGTTAACCCTTTGTTGGCCCACGTCACTTTTCTCTAATCGTATTATTTATTCCAGAATGCTTTTGTTTTTGACGCAGTTATTGTGTTCTCTAATAAAACGCGATGTTGTTTACTCCCATAAAAACCAGATATCACTGCGTTTAGTGAATTTATTTGCCTTTGGGGATGATATGTTTGCGTTCACGAGACTCTGGCACGTGACCGCGTCATCATCACACAGGCTCGCGCTTCGGATGTGCAGCAGATCTCGAGCATGCAGAAGATGAGTGGATGTTTGAAGTGGTTAATTGCTGTCAGAAACTGCATAATAACCACTGAGCATTGCATTAACATTAAGCGTTGAAATAATTTGCATGCTGACTTTCATCTTCATCTCGTGTTGAGTGTTTATGGGATGTATGTACATGATCCTGATGTAAAGCTCCAGTGGTTCTCAAAGCTTTAACTCCAAGGAGCGAAATACTATTTTTGAAGATCCTCATTATATTTATGATACTTCTGCTTCAATGACAGAGCTGTTGGATGCATTTTATTTATGGAAACTAGGAGTGGTAATATTTTTGAAAAATTCTATAAAATAATTTAAAATTAATTGATGAGTGTTGTGCTCGGTTTGCACCTTTTATTACTAGTGAAATATAGTTACTGGTCTATTTCATTCATTTTGTTTATTTTAAAATATTTTACACACAGATTTTCACTTTGTAAATCTTAGCACTCAACAACTGAGTGTGTGTGTGTGTGTTAGGGGTGTAACTGTACACAGAACTCATGGTACAAGTTTGATACAACAGGAAAAAAATAGCAAATCCCTGATGATTTCTTTTTCTTCTTTTCTTGTGAACAGACAGCAGTGCGAGTTACGCTTGAGTGTAGTTGTACAGTACAGCCTGTACTGTAGTGAACACAACACACTCTTGCTGAACTCGTGTTGTTCTGAAGGGCTGATAAAAAACAAAAACAAAAAGGCATTTGACCACAAATAATCAGCTAAAACTGAAGAGCATCGACGGAGAAAAAGAGTTTTAGACAAAGATTGACATCAAGCTTCCTTGTGTTGTGCAAAGTCTTGAGCAACACATACCACATAAAAACACAAAACGCTTTTAAAGTTCCCTCGTGCAGTGTGTACGTCCAGTTTATCAAAGATAATAATTATTTAAATTAAATAAAACCGGTAGTTGTTAATGCAACAGACTTGTAATGTTACGATCTGCTAGTATTATGGTTTAGACATGAAGTTATCTTTGGATACACTCCCGTTGAGTGATTGAGACAGCTAGACATTGGAGTGTGTGTCTTGACCTCTTGACCTCTCCCTGATCTGCTATTCAGATCAGTGTTCTGATCCACAGAGACCTGTTATCATGTGTAGATCAAACCTTAGGAAACTACAGACCTATTAGTGTTTTAATTAGTACTTTTTTTAAAGGTTTAAGGTTGGAACAGCTGGATAAAGTGTTTTAATTAAGCGAGACACTTGTGAGACATTAGGTGTTCAGCCCTACTCATGATTCATTGTTCCTAAATTTGACCGATTCTGTGACTTCACTGTGACTTATACAGCACATGATATATATTTGTTAAGTTGGTGTGTGTCTCATGACCGGAGAGAGTGTGTCGGATGAGAGGATTGTGATTCATGATGTCAGCATGTGTCACTGCGAGATCATGTGTGTGGATTGTGGTGTGTCTATAGTTTATTATAGGACAATACGGAGGAATGTACAAGAGATTTCACTAGAGCTGCGTGATTAATCGTTAAAACATGGCGATCTGGACTCAAACGCCGGTGTGTGATCTTATTCCTGATTGCCTCGATCGCCTGTGTCGGATAATCATGTGACTGGATCTCAGCGAACACTCGGATCTGCTGGACCAGAGAGAGCTGCCATGAACTGGTGTGAAACCGCTTCAGTGTCTTTATTACTCTGTTACTGAAATTTCTACATGCGCCATTACGCTAATTCTGCATCATTAGGGAATTTCTACATCATTACGCTAATTCTACGTCATTGCGCTACTTCTACGTCATTACGGCATTTCTACGTCATAACGCTATTTCTGTCATTACGCAATTTCTACATCATCATGCTACTTCAACGTCATTACGCTATTTCTACGTCATTACGCTACTTCTACGTCATCACTAATTCTACATCACGCAATTTCTGTCATTATGCTATTTCTACGTCATTAAGATATTTCTACGTCATTACGCTACTTCTACGTCATTGCAGCATTCTATGTCTTTACGGCGTTTCTACGTCATTACGCTATTTCTACGTCATTGCACATGCTCACTCCTTTCAGTTTCGTTGTTCAATCTGATCAAGTGTTCACATGTCCTCTTGATCGGATTAGAAAAGGAATAAACCACTCCTTTCAAATTACTTCTATTCTTACTAATATTTCTACATACGTCATTACGCTAATGCTACGTCATTACGGTAATTCTACGTCATTATGGGATTTCTACATCATTACGCTAATTCTACATCATTACGCTAATTCTACGTCATTACGCTATTTCTACGTCATTGCATTTTTTTCTAAACCACCACGCTAATTCTACGTCACATCACGCTACTTCTACATCATCATGCTACTTCTATGTCTTCATACTACTTCTACGTCATTAAGATATTTCTATGTCATTGCGCTTTTTCTATGTCATCACGCAATTTCTGTCATTACGCTATTTCTACGTCATTGCGCTACTTCTACGTCATTACGGCATTTCTACGTCATTATGCTATTTCTACACTTTTCTACGTCATTACGCTATTTCTACGTCATTGCACATGCTCACTCCTTTCAGTTTCGTTGTTCAATCTGATCAAGTGTTCACATGTCCTCTTAATCGGATTAGAAAAGGAATAAACCACTGCTTTCAAATTACTTCTATTCTTATTAATATTTCTACATACATCATTACGCTAATTCTACGTCATTACGGTAATTCTACATCATTATGGGATTTCTACGTCATTACGCTAATTCTACATCATTACGATTATTCTACATCACTACGGAATTTCTACAGCTACATCATTACGCTATTTCTATGTCATTGCGCTACTTCTACGGCATTTCTATGCCATTACGCTATTTCTACGTCATTGCATTTTTTTCTAAACCATCACGCTACTTCTACGTCATCATGCTACTTCTACGTCTTCATACTACGTCATTACGCTATTTCTATGTCATTAAGATATTTCTATGTCATTGCGCTGTTTCTCTGTCATCACGCAATTTCTGTCATTACGCTATTTCTAAGTCATTGCGCTACTTCTACGTCATTACGGCATTTCTATGTCATTATAGCGTTTCTATGTCATTACGGCATTTCTACGTCATTGCACATGCTCACTCCTTTCAGTTTTGTTGTTCAATCTGATCAAGTGTTCACATGTCCTCTTGATCGGATTAGAAAATAAATAAACCACTCCTTTCAATCCGATCGAAATCTCAGTCGGATCGAGCTCAACCAGATGGAGTAAGTGTGTATGTGAAGGCTTCAGTGCGGTTGCCGTGACTAAGGGGTTATGCGTCGGCCTGTGGAGTCCAGCGCTGGAGTCGGGTGAGTGTTGACCAGCTGCTGCTCCAGCTATTATTGTCCCGCCGGCTCTGGTGGAGCTGAGAGGAATGCGGCCTGGAAACATTCCCATGCATGCGTTCAGAAGCGGCCAGCGGACACCAACTGCGTCACGGTCTGGATGGTTTCTTTACGTAACGGCTCTGACACACACACACACACACTCGCTGGAGAGGTTCAGTCCGCATATCCAGCTCAGCCTGGGTCTCGCCTCACACACTCATGATGATGTTCTGTGGGTTTAGCTCAGCGCTAGCACCAGCGCTGTGTGCGGAGGACTAGCGAGGATGGGGACGCGCGCGGGTTCGGCCGCACAGACGCACAGGTACTGACGCCGTCTTGTGTAACGCTCAGCAGATTAAGGACTCCTCAGTGCTTCCCCCTGAAGATAACAGCTGATCCACTGTAATGAGGACAGATCTCCTTATCTGCACAGGGAAATGCTATACTGCTGCTATTATTGATAACACTTTATTTTACAATGTCCTTATTGCACGTTACATGTAGTTACTTTAGCAATAACTATAATTTATGCATAGTTATGCAATTAACCCTACACCAAATCCGGTAGTTAACACTTTATGTTCGTGTCCTTATTACATATCTAACATGTAGTCTAGTACTTACCATAGTAATAACTGTAAATTATGCATAATTATTTACATGCAAGTAACCCTACAAGTACATGTAGTTGCTCAATATTACTTGTATATAGGACACGGACCCTATTATTTCTAGTAGTAGTATTAAACAATTGTTAATGTATGCGGATGTCCAGCAGTGTTGCGCATCACAAAGCAATTAATTACTGTAATTTACTTTTCCCTGAAAAAGTATCGCCAAGTCAGCTTTATTTATATAGCAGAGTGTGTCAAAGCAGCTTTACAGAGATAACAGGAACATACTGCAACACAGTTTGAGCAAGTCCAGCTTGAGTAAGGTCAGTGATGGGCCGTTTTTCTTCTAATAGAGTTATTTAGTTTGTATATTATATATAGCCGCTCTGGAGAAAACCGGGATGTCGATATTGTAAGTGATACCTCTTTAATTATTTCTTCTGATGTAATTGTGTTTAATAAGGTTTTTGGTCAATGCATTTAAATTGGATAATATTTCGACTATGCTCTCTGAAGTGTTGGAAAAAGTGTGACGCACTTTATGAAGTCCTTGAAGATTTCTTGAATGTTTCTCTCAAATGTTTGCATGAAGCCTGACGTAATGCACATTTGAGTATTTCTGCCCATAATAATAATAATGCTGCAATAACATTTAGACTACAAATTTTGTTCAGTATTTTTTTTTTTTACTTTTATAAGCTGTAGCTTTTTTTTTTTTTTTAAAGTTGGGAAAAAAATATGAAAAAATAATTTAAACTTGATAAAAATACTTCTTGATGATTGAATGTTATGGTAATGTTGTGCACAGTTAATAAGAAAAGCACTGACCAACAGGTGTGTGTGAATCATGTTTTGTGACTGTAGTGTGAAATTAACCTGAAAGTGAGGGATTTAAAGTGTGTTGTGTGTGTGTGTGTGTGTGTGTGTGTGTTAATGCTAATACACACTTCAGAGGATCTCACCGCTGGGTTCGTGGAACTGATTACATATTCGAAAACTTGTTTAAATGAATATTTGCTGAATGCTGGCGGTGTTTGCTAGTGTATTAGTCTGTGCTTTTGATAATCTAAAAATAGAAATCCAAACACAGTAACTCTTTTCCATGTGTCGATTTCTTTCATTTGTTTAACAGCTCTGTCACATTTGCAAGACAACGATTGAACTAATGGAGATGCAAACCGGGAGCTTGAATCCCAGCATTCTCAGCTCTGTCGAAATAAACCTTTCCGACACATCAAAAACCCATCGGCTGCTGCGTTCGCTTCGCCCGCTCTTGACGGAGTGTGTGGTCTTTTCTTGAGATCAGCTGTGAGGATTATTAGCTGTGATTGAGTTTTCATAGTTTGAGATAGTGAGTCATTTTGTCTTTGTGTTCAGCTGTTGTGTATGTGTGTGTGAGAGTGAGAGAGACGTGTGTGTGTGTAGTGAAGTTATAATTGGCTCATTTGAGTAATGTCGAAGACTGTCGCTGCTAATGAGTGTTTAAGCAAAAGCCCTGTGTGTGTGTGTGTGTCTGTCTCTCTGAAACCGGATGAGGACTTTGGGTCATCCGCAATGACGCTGTTGTTTGTCTGTATTCCTGATGAAGTGGATGATGTGTGTGTGAATGAGTCCAGTCGTTGGGAATGTGACAGTAAACAGCCTCTCTTCACCTGCCCTGAGTACAGAAATAACCACACACACACACACACACACACACACACATGCTGTTGGTGCGGGAGCGGAAAAAGTCCAGTTGTATCAAATTTAATGTAATAAAATATCATAATAAAAGTCAATATGGATGTTTAGGGTCTAAATCTGTGGTTCTCAGACCTGTCCTGGAGGATCACCAACGCTGCAAGATTTCTTTGTCTAATCAAACACACCTGATTCAACTCGATCAGCTCAAGAAGTTCACAGTGATGAACAGCCCACATTTATGAGAAGCTTTTGATGTACTGTTGATGAATTATGACTGTTTACTTTATGAGGTTTACCTGCAAAAAGCGCAGCTTTCAATATCAGAGTAAACGCTGTGCTTCTGCTGGTCCAGCGCCACCTACTGGCAGAGAGGGAGTTTGTTCTTTCAGCCGGTGGATCAAGGAGAAGCTAATGTAGTTCACGTGTTAATGCCCTCGTATAGTGAGACATCCTTGAGTATTTGTAGTATATATGACAGACGCTAGTCCATATCATGGGTTACGTGTCCAGCCCTATATTTGATCTATTGCAAAATGTGCATAATCCAGTGATATTCTGCATTAGTCTATACTATAAATTCGTATTTTTGACTGAATTTCCACGATTCTGTCCATGTTTTCCACGTCTCTTCCCAGTCTGTCAGTAACGCTCTGTTTACTTCCTGTCTCTATGAAGCCCCTCCTCCTGAAAGCACACTGTGCTCTGATTGGTCGGCTGGAGCAGTGTGTTGTGATTGGTCGAGCGCCTCGAGTGTGTTTGGGAAATGTCCCGCCAGTTTAACACACTACTAACTAACTCAGCCAGGCCCCGCCCCTTTATTCTGCGTATGAATTATTATAATGAGGAACATTGTGGCGTGTTCGTTCCTGAGAGAAACTCAAGACTACAATGGAGGCGTTTCAGGAGTTCAGAAACACTGACATGGACATGGGAAAAAGCCATTCAAAATTTGATTGACATGACAACCTTCCCCGTCTCTCTCTCGAATCAACACTGAAGTGAGTTAAACTGCAGTTCCTCCACTGGCCACTAGAGGCCGGCTCCAAAATAGAGTCAATCCCATAAACCTGTATGTTAAAAGGGCCAACTTTACAGCAGAAGAACAGGTTTACAGTCTGGTGCAAAAAGTGGGTTTGGTCTATATCGCTAATGTTGCCCTTCATGACGACTGTGAGGGGGTGAATATTCTGTCCGTTTAACTGACCCCCCAGCGTGAGTTTTTCAAGGCGACCGTTATTTAGAACTTGCCACTTTAAAGTCCCCGTGAAATCAAAATTGAACCTATTTACTTTGTTAGCGCATATTACTAGTCTTGTGGTGAACAATTAATCCGTGCAAGTAAATATATATTTAAAAAATGTTTTACCTTAGTAATCTTTAATCAAAATCTGAAAACTTACTTCCGGTCTGGAACGGTTTCTTTTTCTGATGACGTAGGTTTCACAGTTTGGGTGGGGAAACGCTTAACCACTCCCCTCAAACCGTTAGTTTGCTATGAGCGAGAGATGGAGAGGAGGAGCGCTAGAGTCAAACCCTGCCCTCTGTTCAATATTCCGTTTCACTTGGAAATACGTCACAGCACTTGAGAAAAATCGTTTGCAACTTCCGGTTCACGGGGACTTTAATGTTTCCATGGAGACGCGTCATTGCTTGTCACGTGACACAGCACAACCAAAACACGGCGCTGAATGAAGGATGATCTGCTTTTGTCGTTTTTCCTTTTTTTATTAAAAATATTCATCAATGTATTAGCTATAACATGAAACACTGATATGCCGATTGTCAAATATGTGCAAGTGGATGGTTTTTACATGGTTTAAACATCTTTATAACGATCGCGTTAGTTGAGCTGGATGCACAACGGGCGGTGCCATTTAGTTTCTTTTTCAGTTCAGAGAATCAGATCTGTTGAATTTACAACGTCAATTCCTCCACTTCTCACGAAATACATGATAGTAAGTGGCTGGTGAACTGGGAGAAGAATAGGGTCAAATGTAAAGCTACTTACACAATGTGTATCTGATATGAATAAAATATTGTTGTCTTATTATAACTGAATAAAGGATTATACCGCTTCCATAGACATCAGTGTGTATTTTACAAACTCAAAATCATTGTTTTGCTAGTACTTATGTGTATTTAAATGTCTGAAACCTAAAATAAATATTGAAAACACTATAACGTTAGTTGTGTTATGACAGCTCTGAGTGCGTCCGTTTCTGGCTCAGCGCCAGCCAGCGCGCGAGAGCCAGTTTGAATTTAGCAGTTGCTGACGTGAAGCACTGAACGTTCTAATCACACCTGTGTGATCGTACACTCCAGGGATCAGCCAAGAAGACTGATCACACTGGTACGTGCGAAAAAGTGACGATTTTGTAAACACTTGCCTAGTTTAGATCATCTTTTCGCGGACCACACTTTGAGAATTACTGGTTTCAATTATATTAAGCCTTAAAGTTCTGCATAATTATTAGGGGCGTGGCCACTTGAGTGACAGCTGGATTGCCGCTGATGTCTCTACTAGCCGTTTGTCTGCTGGTGTTAGCGTCACCTCAGCTAATCCGCTTCTCGTTTATCCGGGAGTGACTCACGGCCATGATGGCAACGGCCGGCTCCGCCCACTTTGGGCTTCATAAACGCTTTTCAGAAACAACGGGTGACGTAATGGACACTAGGCCCATATTTTTATATATTCTATGGTTCTGACTCGTGTGTGTGTGTGTGTCCTCAGCTGGTCCTCGCCGGAGCTGGAGCCCAGTCAGATCCGCCTGATCGTGTATCAGGACTGCGAGCGGCGCGGCAGGAACGTCCTCTTCGACTCCGACACCCGGAAGAGAAGCATGGAAGAAGCTCCCGTCACGGTGAGTGTGAGCGATTACTGATTAACTGATTTCACTCTTAACCGCGACACGGTTATTTAATCGTAAAGGCTCTGCTACACCGCGTGCGTCTGTCGCGCAGAACAGTTACACCAGCGTAACGTGCCGTGCTCATCACACCGTGTCCGAACCAGAAGCGATGCGATTAGATCCCAGCGACAAATAATGTGTCTGTCCACTAGACGCGACAAATGCGTCAAAATCAATCGAACCCCACAGCCAATCAGAACAGTGTGTGGGCGGAGTCTCGCGGCACCAGAGAGTAATCCTGTCGGCACTGGCAAGAAAATGATTAAGTAGCTACATAATCAAATTCACAAATATTACACCATTTAAACCTTATTTATCGTCCTTGTTTATTCAAAAGATATTCTCATCATCTCATATGTTCATCATCAATTATTCTGATGGTCAAATATGTGGAAGTGAATGTGTTTTCAATCATAATGACCGTGAGTTGATATAACGAGCGATGAGTCTGTCAGATTTACACCACGTAAATTCATCCATTTTTACATGGAATCAGAATAAACTTTTTGTACTCGGTGTCCATCTGGTATGAATAAAACACAACGTCAAAGTCAGATTATTATTGCAGCTTCCATAGACACCGGTGTATGTAATTTGATTTAAACAAACTTTAAATGTCTTTTTAAAATGTGTACTACTTCATTTAAATGTCTGAGACTTAAAATAAACATCTATCTGAAGAGCACTGAGCGTGTCCATATATCACATTTCTGTTGAGTTTATCAGCGACGCATTGAACATTGGCACAGGTGTGATCGTACGCATCATCAGGCGAGGTCAAGCCTCATTTTCTCACGCCAGATGTAAAATTATTATAATCAGTATGTGTGGATGATAATTGGTTACACTAACAGTTCAGTATTCCCACACACTGACTACACTCTTAGAAGAAATGGTTCTATTTTAGAACCAGACATGGTTCCATCCCCCACTTCATATATGGAACTCCAAAATGGTTCTCTATAGAACCATTTTTTTGGTAAAAGGTTCTATTGTCCAAGTACGGAACCCCAGGGTTCTATATAGAACCCAGAGGAACCCTTTTTTTTAAAGAGTGTATAGAAGCTTTTAGGGGTTCCAAATACGTAGCACTGATGGAACCTTTTAAGGTTCTATATAGAACCTTTTCTTCTAAGAGTGTATGAGCAGAGGTCACACTTTTAACTCCAAAGGGAGAGATGGACTTTTTAAAATTATTATTATTTGGTGAAACGGTGTTTCAAAACGCAGCGATAAATAACACTTTAAAATCTAAAGAGTGTTCATTTGATTTTTATACATTTTTGTGAAATTAATGAATGCATAATAATCGTGAAACCGTGATGATTCCTCAGACTATAATCATACCAACAACATCTATAGTGGTTGCATCCCTGTGTGTGTGTGTGCGCATTCCTTCACGTTCACATGACTGGAGGCGTGTCTCGGCTCTCGCTCTCGGTCACGTCTGCAGGTTGTTTGTCATTAGCTGTCATGTGACCGCAGACACACAGATGATCTGACCCACAACTGAACGTTTTCCAAGCCTGACTGAAGTCAACTGGTTCCAGCTGATGTGTGTGTGTGTGTGTGTGTGTGTGTGTTGGGGAGAGGCTCTGGAGACGCTGATAGGGACTGGAGCTAAAGCTGTGGTCACATGACACTTTTGGCTGAGAATACTAGAGGGAGAGAGTGATAGAGAGAGAGAGAGAGAGCAAACGGCCCAGCTCACGAGTTGTTAAGGAAGTCATATGATCGTCTCACATGATCGAGTTCCTTTGTGCTCTTCAGGGCAGATGAGCCGTTAGTGACACTGAGACGGACACACACACACACACACTCATTCACTCCAACACGTCACACGGATCACTCTTTATTCAATCACATTCACTAAATACACTGAAGTTAAACTGCATTCAGGTTGAAGCATAAGTGTGTGTGTGTGTGTGTGTGCAGGCTCTGTCACATGACGTCACACTACGTCGAGGAAACATGACCCAAATAATCATTTTTCTTTTCCTTAGAGTGTGTTTGAGAAGCGTTCACCTGTGTGTGTGTTCAGGGTTGTGCTCCCGAACCCTCGACGCTGTAGTGACGACCTCTGCCGAGGCTATTCACACACTCCTGACAATCTTCTGAAGAGACACGAGCGCTTTATATGATGAACACTTTTCATTTAGACTTTTATTCATATAAATATTGATTAAACCTCTTTATTCCAATGGATAATGAAGTGTTGCGTGAAGTTTCAATGGAGGGACACATGTTTGTGTTTTGGAGATGAACATAATAATTGTGTGTTTAACTACTGTTCATTTAGTCGCCGCCCTGAGGGAGTCAGTGAGCGAATCATCTGACTGATTCAACTGCGTTTGTGAGTCGTTTTGAATGATTCGTTTAAAGAACCGACTCTGCTGTTCAGAAGTGTGGGATCGTGACGTTTTTGATTGTTTTTAAAGACGTCTCTTCTGCGTTTATTTGATTAACGATACCCTCAAAAAATATTGTTAAGTACTGAGTAATATTGTTAAATAATATTCTAATGTCAATTTTACTCCTGTGATCAAAGCATCATTACTCCAGTCTTCAGTGTCACATGATCCTTCAGAAATCACTCTAATATGAGGATCTGATGATCAAGACACATTTATAAATATAATATTAAAATAGTGAAAATCCAGGATTCTTTAATGGATAGAAAGGTCAAAAGATTAATTGTGTACTGTAATCCCCCCCTGACCCAGTGCACATCTGATCGTGACGCATCGACCGCTCCTGGTCTGTTATTAGCGCTATTGTCTCCTCTCAGTCAGTTCACACACTCTCTATTAAACGATTAATGACATCAGCTGTGTCTGTGTGTGTTGTCTGCAGAGGGTGTGTGTGGAGACGCCGGGGAAGTGTTGTGCGCTGAGACCCACGGGTGGCAGCTCCAGTTCTCTGGACAGCAGCTCCTCCGAGCCCAGAGACCAGACCCGCTTCCAGGTGAGACACACACACACACACACACACACACACACACGAGAGAAAGATTAGCGCAGACTTCCCCCGTAGTCAATAATGTGTCCCATAAATCTCATCTCTGATCACCAAAATTACATAACCATCATGCCTTTGAATGTCTTGAATGTAACTCGACACCCTCGCCTCATTTAGTATGCACGGTTCTATGAATATGCAAATTTGCCCCGCCTCCACTCCCTCACTCGGAGATCCACCGGTTGACGATCACCCGTTGATCTGATTGGTTACAAGGTGGTTTGTGAGGTCAGAAACACCAGCGATTTCAAAGCGTGTTTTTGAGTCTGTCTTTGGTTCAAAATACTCAGCAATGCTGTCGACTGATGAACTTACACACGGTGTGTGTTAAAGCGGATTAAAAACACCACACACACACACATAAACAACATTAAACGCTGAATTTACACCACAGCAGGACTTTAAAGGTTTAGTTCACCCAAAAATGAAAATTCTGTCAGTATTTACTCACCCTCATGTTGTTCAACCCCGTAAGACCTTTGATCATCTTCGCAACACAAATTAAGATATTTAAGATATTAAGATCGCTCCTGCATACTAGTCCATAGGCTTCTTGAGGGAATGACACGAAAAGTCATTAAAGACATCGTTAAAATAGTCCAAGTGACTACAGGGGCTCAATCTTAACTTTATCAAACGACGAGAACACTTTTGTGCGCAAAAAAACAACAAAAATAACGACTTTATTTCAACTATTCACTTCCTTCTCCATGAGCCTGTAGTCAGTTGACGTAGTGTGATTGCGTAAAGCTACGTCACACGTAGGCTCACTATTGGCCGACGCTGGTCATGTGTGTGTGTGATGCGTGTGACGTACAATAACAGAAGCTTACGCTATTAAACTAGTAACCTGACTCGCGCAGAAACGAATAGTTGAAATAAAGTCGTTATTTTTGTTGTTTTTTTGCGCACAAAAGTGTTCTCGTCGTTTGATAAAGTTAAGATTGAGCCCCTGTAGTCACTTGGACTATTTTAACGATGTCTTTAATGACTTTTCGTGTCATTCCCTCAAGAAGCCTATGGACTAGTATGCAGGAGCGATCTTAATATCTTAAATATCTTAATTTGTGTTGCGAAGATGATCAAAGGTCTTACGGGGTTGAACAACATGAGGGTGAGTAAATACTGACAGAATTTTCAGTTTTGGGTGAACTAACCCTTTAAGACAACATGTTAGTATTGTAGTGTTCCTGTCTCTGTTTATCGAGTCCCTCACTCGTCTTCATTCACTCTGAGCGAGCGAGAGTATAAGAGTGTGTTTCAGACACAGCCACTGTCTGTGAAAGAATCATTGAATCACTCGTCCGAGTCATTTACAAACGAAACACCGCTGTGTGTTCCCTGGACACGCAATTCGGGGCTATTTTCTTTGGTCAAAAACAGACAATATGTAACTCTTGTATTGAGCTGTTGTATAAAATCAGGACTTGAAATCGTGCTGATCTTATGAAGAAAACATTTGGACCAAAGTTGGTTGAAGGCCTGTTTATTTATTTACTTTGCCGCGTTACTGTGTGTGTTTCCCACAGGCCTCGTCGCGCTGCGCGTCGGACGCTAACATGCTGGGGGAGATGATGTTCGGCTCGGTGGCTATGAGCTACAAGGGCTCCACGCTGAAGATCCACCAGATACGGTGAGCCGGAAGCTGCTCTTCTAACTCATACATTACATCATCGCATTACTCCAACAAATAAACTAATTGCGTTACGTTTTCTCAGCTGGGCTGGACTGGACTTGCTTGTTTGTTTTTTAATAACTGTTTTTTAGCAAGTGTTAAGGCCCTTTCACACCAAATGTGAAATGAATAATCCTCAAGCTGAAGGAAATTTACACATTTACGCCTGTCGAGTCGAGTAAAGAACAATAGATAACTCTTATTTCTAAATCTAAAGTCATTTTTGGTTATTTATATGGTCGAATTAGATAATTGAAGGTCAGCAGCGAATACATTTGAAGAGTTCAGATGCAAAAGCCTCTAAATGCCATTTGAAATTTTCTTCTTTAATGATGATTTTTATCAAACTTGTATGTTTAAGTTCAGTGATTTCACTGAAATGGCAATTAATAGGTAATCTTCATTGCCATTTAAGTGAAATTACTGAACTTAAATATACAAGCTTGATAAAAATGATCATTAAAGAAGAAAATTTCAAATGGCACTTATTTATTATTACTCATTTATTAATAAAGTACATGAAGTATCTTTGTGTAATTTAATATAGTTAATTATAATAGTTTTAAACTGTTTTTATTCATTTTGAGGAATTAAAAATAACTGCAATAACCATGTTTACACACAACACGTCCTCATTTTAATTCTCTCCACACGAGGGCAGGAGCTGTCAGTCATGTGACACAGTAACGATATTTTAATGCGGTACTTCCCTAGTTACTAGAAAAAGTAATCGGATTACTCAACTGAAATTACTTGGTTAACACTGGTCATTCATTCATTCATAATTTTTATTTCGGTCAGCTTCAAAAAGAAACAAAAGTGAAAATACAATATAAACAATAATAAAAACATAAAGAAAAGAAAAGATGCTTGACCGAAAAGGTGTCGGCTGAAGCTTATGCTTATTGCGCCGATCCTTTTTACATTTTATTTATTTAACACGCACTACCTAAAAGATAATAACTAAAAGAAAGGAAAGCTAAACTTATTCAGCTTTGTATAATGTAATCTTTTTTTATATATATACAATTTCTTAAAGCTGCCTATAGATTTACATGTTTTCAGTTCATCATCGAGACTATTCCACATTTAACAGACAGACATCTCTGTTTAACATTTGTTCAAATCTGTGGTTTATTGAACATGAGTGTTCCTCCGAGCTCATAAGGAGTGGATTTCATTTGAAACAGGTTCTGGAAATTGATTATTTATTATTTTAAACATTATTTTGGCTAAATCATTAAATCTTAGTAGGTTGGAATTTATAAATAGCTTGTTTGTTGGGTGATAATAATCTGTTTTATTTATTAGTATATTCATGATGGACCGACCGTGTGTGTGTGTGTGTGTGTGTGTCCAGATCTCCTGCACAGCTGATGCTCAGTAAAGTGTTTACAGCCAGGACGGGCGGCAGTGCCTACGGGAGCCTGAACACGTAAGTGCTGGAGACGTGTCCTCATTGCGGTTTTATTTAACATGTTTAGTTATTGGAGGTTTGCACAGGATTCTGAATCTGCGTTCCACTCTGATTTATTCATTTTGGGGAATATTGATATTGATATCTTTTTTTTAAGATTAACTGCACACTCACGTTTCATCTAGAACTGAAATAACCCCCTCATGTTTTCACACACACATTTACACACAACTGCTGCTCAGGCATTTTGTTGTAAATTTATAAAAGTAATACTTTACTAGTTGCATGATAAAGTAATCTGCTCATTGTAATGAGCTCCCCCACTCGTCTGTGCAGGCTTCAGGACAGCCTGGAGTTCATCGGCCAGGACTCCGGCGCGCTCCGGCCCGAGCACAACAGCGGCTTTCTGGGAAGCATAGGTAACTCGCTCCTAAACCCAACCTGAGCTGCGTTTATATTTCAGCTGTCCGTTTAAAGACGTTCTGTACTTTCATTGTATAATCCTTCATTTTGATCTCTGTGTTTCCCACGTTACATGTAAATGCTCTCTTACGTGTCTATCCTCTTCCATTGTGCGTAATACTTCCTGTGAAATCGTCACAACATGTGATTGTTTAAACCCATGCTGCCTCTTCAAGAACATGTCCAGGTCTGTGTAACACACACTATGTGTTTAGTTCATTGCAAAGCGTTTTATTTGTCTAAAGACATGAGGTCACTGAGAGGAGAAAGCCTCACGACTGGCACAGATGCGAGCTCTCGTTACCATCACCGCTTTATCAGCAACAGGACCTTCTGACGGGATCAGTCTCAGAAATACCGCTTGTGTCACCGTCGTCCATCATCCGGCCGATCGCACTGATGCAACGGGAACTGTGATGAAGTGGCATGAGAATAAAGCACAGTACAACAGATCCCACATACAGCCTTGATTAGAAACGTTTTGAATTGCATTGGGAGTGAACTCTGACCTGGACATGTTTCTGCGAGCGTTGCACTGCCGCTGGGTCGGTACGGCCTGTAATGTTTTTAAATGTCTCTCCTGCTCACCAAGGCTGCATTTATTTGATTAAAAATACAACAAAAAAAACAGTAATATTGTGAAATATAATTCCAGTGTACAACAGCTGTTTATCATCAATGCTAAAAACAGTTGTGAGTTTTTTTTCAGGATTCTTTGATGAATAGAAAGCTCAAAAGAACAGCATTTATTTCAAATATAAAGCTTTTGTAACATTATAAATGCCTTTACTGACACTTTTGTTCAATTTAATGCATCATTGCTGAATAAAAGTATTAATTTCTTTTTAGTTTCTTTCCAAAAAAAAATAAAAAATCTCACTGACCCCAAACTTTTGGACGTTACAAAGCTTTCTATTTCACATAAATGCTGTTCTTTTGAACTTTCTATTCATCAAAGAATCCTGAAGAACTGTGTTCAACATTGATAATAATCATAAATGTTTGTTGATCATCAGATCCTCATATTAGAGTGATTTCTGAAGGGTCATGTGACACTGAAGACTGGAGTAATGATCACAGGAATGAATCCCACTTTACTGGATATTCACATAGACAACAGCTGATTGACACTGGAGTAATAATATTTCACAATATTACTGTTTTTTTGTTGTATTTTTAATGAAATAAACGCAGCCTTGCTGAACAGAAGAGATTAATTTAAAACCATTAAAGATGCTCCTCTTGACCGGCCGGCCGGCGGTGTGTGTTTAGAGCAGCGTTTGATTGCGCTGCCCTGTCCTCACACACACGAGTCGCCACAGGCTCACTCACACACACTGTGGTGTGTGTCTGTGTGTGTCAGCTTCAGATACTGTGCTTCTCTTCAGCTCTCCAACACTGCGTTTATTTGATCAAGAAACAGTCCAAATTAATATTTGATCACATTAATGCAGCCGGTGAGCAGAAGAGACGTTGGAGCGCGAGTGTGTGTGTGTCTTGTACTTGACTAACCGTCTGATGTGTGTGTGTCCCCTGTTCTCCTGGCCGTGTGTGGTCACAGGTTTCTCTCAGCTCTGCAGCCCGCGCCGGGCGCTCTCAGAGCAAGGCCCTCTCCGCCTCATCAAGAGCGCCTCTTTCTTTTCAGGTTGGCCTGTGTGTGTGTGTGTGTGTGTGTGTGCGCATGTGCATGTGCATCTAGTGCTTTGCTTTGTAACTGGTAGATTTGAGCGGGTGTGAGCTTTGACGAGGCCGTTCCCCATAAGCCACCGGTGTCCCTCTCCTGCCTGCGCTGGAAGCGTGTGTGTGTGTGTGTGTGTGTGTGTGTGTGTGTGTAGATCACAGTGGTGATGAGATGTGTGGATGGTGGAGGGTACGGATGATCAACCTCTTTAAGAGTCTCTTGCGTGACTGTTTTCCTCTTCCTCTCAGGTCACAGTAACCCGATGGACATGCCGGGCCGAGGGCCGTTCGATGAGCGGGACAGTGGGATCGCTCGCTCAGGTGAGATGCAGAACACACACACACACGTTGAAGTGTCTGATGGGACACACAATTACTGCATGCAGTTGTTTAGTTTTATTTCTGGGCTATAATTAACCCTTATGCTGCATTAGGGACATTTTTGGTCTTTTGCAGTTTAATTTCTTTGACCATTTTGGATGTTTTAATGCAAATGGTATGAAATTTGGCAAAATTGTGACTTTTTGGATACATGTAAAAAATGTGATCCCATTTTGCAAAATATGTATAACACACACTGTGTAGATCAAATAGTAACACTCAGCACCATAAAGACCAAAAATGGCCCATTGAAACCCATTAAAACGTTGTTTAAATCTGAGGCTGTCAGTAATACATGAAACATGATTTTTGCACAAACATCCTTTCATTTTGAAGCAAAAGCATTATATTTGCATTATATAGTGATGACGTCACTACATATTTATTCCCTATGGGTCGAAATGCACCTTATTTTAGGCAATAGGCAATGTTTAATAGGTGGCCATTTTTGGTCTCTAACGCGCTAAGTGGGATTTTTTGCAAAGTGGGACTGTGATAATCCAAATCTAAAGTTTTCTCTTTGCATTTAGTTTATTGAAAATAATTGAATTTTTGTGTTTTTTCCTCTTATACAAATCGATGGTTTCGCAAACAAAACTGGTAATTAAAGGGTTAAAATCCTGAAATTGAATACATTTTTGGTAGTTATGATGAGGACTGATGCTGGTTAAAAGATTTAACTTGGTAAAAGTGGAAAACAATAATAATATATAATATTTTAGGCAATGTTTAATATGTGGCCATTTTTGGTCCTTAATGCACTCAACGGTGTTAAAAATCTAATGCAGCACAAGGGTTAAGAAAATGTAAAGACATTTTTCACATTTTTACTGAACAACCCCTAACAAGAAAATAAATAATAATAAAAATAAAAATAAACAATAATGATAAATGCCTATATACACACATGCATAAGTACATACACGCATAAACATACGGTGGCCATACCTACATATACACATACAGATCTCTACATGCACATATATTAAAAGTAGTAACATTTTTAAAACATTTTAATTATTGAATTAAAGTTTAATATGATCTTCTGAATTCATTTTTGATTGAAAGCAAACAAAGTGCTTATAATTTGGCTGCACACAAATAGAGAATTACTTGTTAAATTGATACATTAATGAAAAATGTGATATAGCTTGAATAATGTTTTAATATAAGTGAAAGAGCAGCTCTGGAGATGTGTTCATGTGCTGATAATGAGATGCAGACGGTGTCAGAAACGTTCGATATGGAGACCGGTTCCTGAACGATACTTTATTCAGGACAAATTTTATTGAATCTGTTTATTATTTTACACATTATTTTAAAAGAAGCTTTGGTTCTATTTGACTGTATAAGCCACTGAGGGGGACGGTATATACTCCAAAAAGATATTTTAATTGTTTATTAATAAACTAGTGTTTTCTGAGTCGGTGTTGGCTGCAGAAATGAAGTTGACGTCGCCGACTCGTCATCTCTGCAGTTTAGTGAACGCACGTGCCTATAGAGTAAAGTCCACCTTTAATTTGGATTATATAATCAGTGTATTTGTTTTCGTTTTGGTTCATTTGTAACGCGCTCCAGTTCTTCCTGCAGTCGAAGACGGAGCAACTTTTGAACTCTTGAAGCTCCGCCCTTCTGAATTGGGCATTATACCACCCCTTTAACGAAGGAATGAGGGGGCGGGTTGAGAATGATGTCCTGGGTCCATAAAGACCTGGGGCCTCATGTATAAAACTTTGCGTAGATTTCATCCGTTAAGTGTGCGTACGCACATAAAGCAGAATTTGCGTACACACAAAGGTTTTCAGATTTATAAAACCGTTCGTACACCAGAACCTGCGCAAAATTCACTTTATAAATCCCAGTCAGCGGGAGATTATGCGCACGTGCGTCTCCTCCCCGAAATAACCATATATGGAGATTACAACGCCTAGTTTAAATATGCATATCCTCATCTGCATATCATTTGCATGTGATTATTCATCCACGTGATACCAAGTTTAACGGTACAAGACGTTAGGAAAATATGAAATGCGGATGTGCCGTCACATTATTACAAAGATTTTTTTTTTATTAGCCTATATCCTTGCCTTGTTTTTGAATAAATAAATCAAATAGTGTTAAATACATTTCAGAGAAAGTTTTTCTCAATCTTTTCCACTGGCCAAATAGTATTTTTTAATTTATTTATATTTTAATGGAAACAGATGGTTGTTCATTATTTGCACGAAACAATTTTCTCAGACAATCTGCTATTATCATGATTAGCAATTATCTCTAGTTAAAACATTAAAACACAGCATGCCGGAAGAAAAGTGTTCAAAAGCAATGCATCCACAACAAATAGGTCTATTTCTATTCATTGAATATACTTTTTTTTGTAACTTCTAAGTAATGATTTCAAGTAGTTTAAGTGTTTAACTCCATTAATGGCATATTTAATCTAAATGTTAAATATCAGAAGTAAAACATTGTTTAAATCATTCTTTTATTTATTTAAACTGTTATTGAGAACATGCACTCTATTTATGATTTGGACTCATAATGAAGATTTACTGTTTTACTCCATCTGCCGTTAGATTATATAGGCTATATGTGCGTCGTCAGTTTCACTAAACGGCCCAACGTGCGTGCTGGCGCGGTCATTTAAGAAGGGGTGGATGTTTGAGATAGGTTTGTGAAATTATATTTGAATTATATTTCTGTAGATGTATAATTTTCTTTAGATTCTCTGTCTAATAGTGAGCAAAACGACATTTGACTCCAGCTCACCATCGGTGTCGGCAAAACACACACTCTTCTAAAAGAGTGCGTACGCACGGTCATTTACGCCAAGTTTATTTTTTATAAATCCCGATATGTGCGAGGAAAAATGCGTATGCATATTTCTATGCCTATTTTGTGCGTACGCAACGTTTATACATCAGGCTCCTGAGGTTTACGTTTAAGGTTTGAATGTACAGCCCTACTCTGGATTCACTCATACAAAATTAGTAAATTCTGTAAATTCAATTTTTATGATGTTTTCTACATCGCTTGAATCATAGGCCCTTAAAGTCATTTGTGATTGGAAATATCAAAGGATAGTAAAATCTATTGGCTGATCTCATGTGAGTGACCGGTTATAGCCCCGCCCTCGTCATCAGAGAAGAAAAGAGATCATTTCTGCCCCAGAAATGTGGATTTGGTGCGAGATCAGGAACATGTAGACGTGAAGGTGGTGTTGTGTGTGTGTGTGTGTGTGTGGTGTCTCAGCCGGGAATATCTGAGATCTGGAAAAGCTTGTGCAATGGAAAGAGCATAGCTGGGATCTCTCGCTCGGCTAATGCCGTGTCACACACTCGCGGTTATATTTAGCCCTTCCCAAAACTGCCGTCCTGCACTAGTAAACCAGGAGGCTAATTCAGGCACATGTGCTAATTCAGCTCCTCTAGCGCCTGCACGACAACACACCAGCTTCACTTCTGTGAGATTGGGATTGATACTGACTGTGTGTGTGTGTGTGTGTGACTCTCCTCTCCTCTTGTAGCGTCTCTCAGTAGTCTGCTGATCACCCCGTTCCCGTCCCCGGGCTCGTCTCTCGCCAGTAGCTGTGCCAGTAGCTACCAGAGGCGCTGGTTACGCAGCCAGACCACCAGCCTGGAGAACGGCGTCTTCCCCCGATGGTGCGACTCACACACACACACACACACACACCGCATTACAGCGAGGGCTGGGCAAGATGAACACAACTCTTACATCACCATAAAGATATAATTATTTTGCCTTTAATAAGGTTATGATACCAAAACATTAGACAGTCAGTAATAAAATGAAATGACCGAAGGTTTAACTGTTTATCAGAAATGAGAAATACTACAGAAGTTAAATGTAAAAATAACACATTAAAGGAGTAGTTCACTCTTGAAAAAACTTTTGCTGATAATTTACTCACCCCCATGTCATCCAAGATGTCCATGTCTTTCTTTCTTCAGTCGAAAAGAAATTAAGGTTTTTGATGAAAACATTCCAGGATTTTTCTCCATATAATGGACTTCAATGGGGTCCAAACGGTTCAAGGTCCAAAAGACAGTTTCAGTGCAAACTGTTCAAATGTCTTTAAATGACACCAGACGATGAATAAGGGTCTTATCATGCGAAACGATCGCTTATTTCAAAACTTAGTCCAAAAATGTAACTTTTCTAAGGACAAATGCTAGCCTTGCTGTATTCTGTGAGGCGCGTTTGTAACGTCACGTAATACGTAATTACGTTCAAAAGGTCACGGGCGACGTAGCCGGAAGTACAGAATCAAAATCGTCCGACATCGTTGTTTTACCTTTTAATCTTTTTGTAAACGGCGTTTGAGTTGGTTTGCACGTTCAACTTGTAAACATTGACTCTGTACTTCCGGCTACGTCGCCCGTGACCTTTTGAACGTAATTACGTATTACGTGACGTTACAAACGCGCCTCACAGAATAGAGCAAGGCTAGCATTTGTCCTTAGAAAAGTTACATTTTTGGACTAAGTTTTGAAATAAGACCCTTATTCATCGTCTGGTGTCGTTTAAAGACACTTGAAGCTGCATCTGAAACTGTTAACTGTCTTTTGGACCTTGAACCGTTTGGACCCCATTGAAGTCCATTATATGGAGAAAATCCTGGAATGTTTTCATCAAAAACCTTAATTTCTTTTCGACTGAAGAAAGAAAGACATGGACATCTTGGATGACACGGGGGTGAGTAAATTATCAGCAAAAGTTTTTTTCAAAAGTGAACTACTCCTTTAAATCTACATTAATTATTAATGCCTGTTTGTTGATTAACATTGACGCACATCTAGAGTTTATTCCGGGAACGAACACATCACAATATTGCTCATTATAATAATTAATGAGCAGAATAAGGGGCGGGGCCTGGTTGAGTTAGTTAGTTAGTAGTGTGTTAAACTGGCGGTTAAGGTTAGGGGCGGGACATTTCCCAAACACACTCGACCAATCACAACACACTGCTCCAGCCGACCAATCAGAGCACAGTGTGCTTTTCAGAAGGAGGGGCTTCATAGAGACAGGAAGTAAACAGAGCGTTACTGACAGACTGGGAAGAGAGGAGCCGCAACAATGGAGAATATGAGGAGAATAATCAACATTAGTCAATAGTAGAGCCTAAATCAGACCAATCAGAATGGAGGACATAATTTCCCTGTGTAACTGGTTTGCATCGCAGGTCTGTGGAGGAGAGCTTCAACATGTCTGACGAGAACAGCGGGCCGAGTCTGGGCGTCGCCAGGAAGAAGAAGATCGCCATCGGGGTCATCTTCCTGCTCTCGCCCAATGAGGAAGAAAACGCCAAGTTCCAGGACTTCTTCTTCTCCCACTTTCCGCTCTTCGAGAGCCACATGAACAAACTCAAAAGTGCCACCGAGCAGGTTAGACTCCATCCGTGCTCTTTGACCCTGTGCCCTCTGTGGAGTGTCTCTGACGGCGCGCTGCTCTGTGTCCGCAGGCGATGATCCTGAGCCGCCGCTCAGCCGACGCCAGCCAGAGGGCTTTGGCCTACAGTCGAATGGTGGACGGCCTCAATGAGTTCAGGTGAGAGTGATGACATGTCTGAACGCTGATCACCAGGTGTTTCGGTTATTTACATCCAACAAAAGTCCAGCCAAACGTTTAATGGACACGTTGACCCAGTTATCCACTCATGTGACGCGAGATCAGCGCTGATCTGGGAGCGCTTACACTGAATCATTGCAAGGGGAGGCGTTTAATCTTCCACTTCTGATCCTGTATGAGTGACATGAGCACCGTGACCTTTGACACCATTCACACGGTAACTCTGGCATCATGGCGGCTAGAAACATCGTACATTTCAAAGACGTAAAAATAAATATCAATCTGTCGATCGTATTTGGTGTCAAATTTTAGAAAATCAAATTATGTCATCAGGGCTGGAATTGTACTGTATGTGAATTGTACTCGCTTGACCGGACAAGTATCCTGATTAAAACTGCAATAACAAAAAACAGCCAAAACACGAGAATGATTCTGCGTTTTTAGTGTAAGTGGTGATTGATAGTGAATAATAATATAATATATAATATACTGATGGTAGTGTTGTTGAGGAGAAATCGCCACTAATAAGTGCAGTTCACACAAAGTCACCATACTTTAACAGTTAACTAACTACGGTAACCATTCAAAATGTTTTTATATTTGTAACATATGATACAGTTAAGCGACATTACATCAAACACCTGCCTCTTCCTGAATGAATCAGTCGTTTGAACTAATCGTTTGAGTCAAAGATTCAATGACTCATTCATAAACACCTGCTTCTTCCTGAACGAATCAGCCGTTTGAACTAATTCGTTTGAGTCAAAGATTCAATGATTCATTTATAAACACCTGCCTCTTCCTGAACGAATCAGTCGTTTGAACTAATCGTTTGAGTCAAAGATTCAATGATTCATTTATAAACACCTGCCTCTTCCTGAACGAATCAGCTGTTTGAACTAATCGTTTGAGTCAAAGATTCAATGATTCATTTATAAACACCTGCCTCTTCCTGAACTAATCAGCCGTTTGAACTAATCGTTTGAGTCAAAGATTCAATGATTCATTTATAAACACCTGCCTCTTCCTGAACGAATCAGCCGTTTGAACTAATCGTTTGAGTCAAAGATTCAATGACTCATTCATAAACACCTGCCTCTTCCTGAACGAAACAGTCGTTTGAACGAATCGTTTGAGTCAATGATTCAATGACTCATTCATAAACAACTGCCTCATTCCTGAATGAATCAGCCATTTGAACGAATCATTTGAGTCAATTATTTAATGACTCATTCATAAACACCTGCCTCTTCCTGAATGAATCAGCCATTTGAACAAATGGTTTGAGTCAATGATTCAATGACTCATTCATAAACAACTGCCTCATTCCTGAATGAATCAGCCGTTTGAACGAATCGTTTGAGTCAATGACTCAATCATAAACGCCTGCCTCTTCCTGAACGAAGCAGTCGTTTGAACTAATCGTTTGAGTCAAAGATTCAATGATTCATTTATAAACACCTGCCTCTTCCTGAACGAATCAGTCGTTTGAACGAATCGTTTGAGTCAAAGATTCAATGACTCATTCATAAACACCTGCCTCTTCCTGAACGAAACAGTCGTTTGAACGAATCGTTTGAGTCAAAGATTCAATGATTCATTTATAAACACCTGCCTCTTCCTGAACGAAGCAGTCGCTTGAACTAATCGTTTGAGTCAAAGATTCAATGATTCATTTATAAACACCTGCCTCTTCCTGAATGAAGCAGTCGTTTAAACTAATCGTTTGAGTCAAAGATTCAATGACTCATTCATAAACACCTGCCTCTTCCTGAACGAATCAGTCGTTTGAACGAATCGTTTGAGTCAAAGATTCAATGACTCATTCATAAACACCTGCCTCTTCCTGAACGAATCAGTCGTTTGAACGAATCGTTTGAGTCAATGATTCAATGATTCATTTATAAACACCTGCCTCTTCCTGAACGAAGCAGTCGTTTGAACTAATCGTTTGAGTCAAAGATTCAATGACTCATTCATAAACACCTGCCTCTTCCTGAATGAAGCAGTCGTTTGAACTAATCGTTTGAGTCAAAGATTCAATGATTCATTTATAAACACCTGCCTCTTCCTGAACGAATCAGCCGTTTGAACTAATCGTTTGAGTCAAAGATTCAATGACTCATTCATAAACACCTGCCTCTTCCTGAACGAATCAGTCGTTTGAACTAATCGTTTGAGTCAAAGATTCAATGATTCATTTATAAACACCTGCCTCTTCCTGAACGAATCAGCTGTTTGAACTAATCGTTTGAGTCGAAGATTCAATGATTCATTTATAAACACCTGCCTCTTCCTGAACGAATCAGCCGTTTGAACTAATCGTTTGAGTCAATGATTCAATGACTCATTCATAAACAACTGCCTCATTCCTGAATGAATCAGCCATTTGAACGAATCATTTGAGTCAATTATTTAATGACTCATTCATAAACACCTGCCTCTTCCTGAATGAATCAGCCATTTGAACAAATGGTTTGAGTCAATGATTCAATGACTCATTCATAAACAACTGCCTCATTCCTGAACGAATCAGCCGTTTGAACGAATCGTTTGAGTCAATGACTCATTCATAAACGCCTGCCTCTTCCTGAACGAATCAGTCGTTTGAACGAATCGTTTGAGTCAATGATTCAATGATTCATTTATAAACACCTGCCTCTTCCTGAACGAAGCAGTCGTTTGAACTAATCGTTTGAGTCAAAGATTCAATGACTCATTCATAAACACCTGCCTCTTCCTGAATGAAGCAGTCGTTTGAATGAATCGTTTGAGTCAAAGATTCAATGACTCATTCATAAACACCTGCCTCTTCCTGAACGAATCAGTCGTTTGAACGAATCGTTTGAGTCAAAGATTCAATGACTCATTCATAAACACCTGCCTCTTCCTGAACGAATCAGTCGTTTGAACGAATCGTTTGAGTCAATGATTCAATGATTCATTTATAAACACCTGCCTCATTCCTGAATGAATCAGCTGTTTGAACGAATCGTTTGAATGAATGACTCTCATTAAGACGTTCCCCTGCTGCTCCTACTGGCGGTTTTGTTTCATGTTCATTCTTTCAGATATTCTTATTTGCATACTCTAACATTTAAAGTAATCTCCAAACATAATTGAATGCAGTTGTAATTTTTCAATGTAAATGATTTAATTAGATTGGTATTGGTCTTATTCTAATTTAATTTATTGATCAAATGTAAGATTTTAAAATGAAAGATGAAGCCTATATTTAAAACGATTAGGGAAAAATGCCCTTTATAAAGGTTAAAATATCATAAATATGCCGATTTAAATATGTCAAAGCTGACTGAACACTGATGAGAATATTGCTTCTTCACTCGGACACGCGCATGACCGGTTGACTTGTCTGAAGGACGAGCACATGACCAGGCTTGATGTCGAGCTCTGCATTGTTGTCATGCTCTCTGTGATAATGTGTAGGTCAGCTGTGTGTGTGAGCAGCTCCATCACAACATTGATTCGTTTGTTCGACCGGCCGCAGCACCTGTGTCTGTTTGGCTGACCAATGGCAGACGAGGGACGCGTTTAAAGCGCTTTTTCGGAATATTATCCTAAAAGAAAGAAGCGAAACAAATTGAACATTGTAATCCTTGTGCACATGCTGTCTTATCTACACTTTCAGTTCTGTGTAGTTTGAGCTTTAACCTGTACAATAATAATACTGCTTTGCAAAAGGAGTGTGGCTCATATCCTGAAGCCTGTTGTGCAGTGTAAAATAAGCTCAGTGCTTCAGAGCTGATCCACTAATGCACCGTCTCATACTTCCAAGTCATATGCCTGTTGGTGTTTGGCCAGAGCAACCTGACCCCAGGGCCACAGAAACCTTATCTCCCGCACATACTGTCAGGGCAGACCAGAATAGTCAATAATGTGCAAGGGAACAGACAAACAAATATTTCAGATCTCCACCTCCAGCGGGCTAATTATACACCCAGAGCGGTGGCGATCCGAGGGCAGAGCGTAGTGCGCCAGTGTCCGGGGTCCATGGGTCAACACTCAGCTTTTTGTTTAGGTCACATTTTAAACAAATGCAGTCTGTCATTTCATCCTTTAAAACTCATCTTCGATCACTGAAATTACATATTTAAGCGGTTTTTCCTTCATGCCTTTAAATATCTCGATTTGTAACTCGACACCCTCGCCTCATTTAGTACGTGCGGTTCTATGAATATGCAAATGAGCCCCGCCTCCACTCTCTCAGAGATCCACTGGTTGCCGATCACACGTTGATCTCGTTTGTGACGTCAGCGATTTAAAAGCGTGTTTTTGAGACTGTCTTTGGTTCAAAATACTCAGCAATGCCGTCGACTGACGAACTTACACACGGTGTGTGTTAAAGCGGATTAAACACAGCACACACACGCATAAACAACTGGATTTCCGCCAAATTAGTGTATAACAATACATATACATTAATATTTATTTTTAATATCTTAATCTAGTGGCATTGATTCAATGCATTTATTATAATTTTAATGACATATTGTTAGTATGTAGTAGGTGTTGCACAGTGTGTTATACTGTGAATCATCTCATATCTGAATCACCCAGGGCTTATTTGAAGTGCCGAGTGTTTAGTGTGTGTGAAAGCAGACCTCAGCGCTTCACAACTCTTACCTAACCCAGTGTGAACGCTGCGTCTGTCTGTTCACTGCGTCTGCCAGAGGCTTTTTATAGGTCACTGCACACGAACTCCAGTACTGGGAAGTGCAGTGCAGCTTGGGAAGGGTGTACTTTGTCCCTTTTCCAAGTGTCAGGTTGTTAGCAGTATACGCTCGGGTGTTTGTGCAAACATCTGCATCTTTCCCAGTGTCTAATCAGCTCCAGAAATGGGAAACGACACGTGGGAAATCTTTTGCATTACAGATTCGAATTAAAGTTGCTGTAGAATAATAAAGTGGACGAAGCCGCCCTAATGTCTTTCCTGATCTCCTACCGTACCTAAAATTGTATGCACGCCCGAATGTTGTAAGCCAAAAAATATTCAGACTTAAAGTGTGTGTACGCCAGAACCTGCACATCCTCATCTGCATATCATTAGCATATGCATATTCATCCACATGATCCATGTTTAACGGCACAAAACATACGGAGAATCAGAGATACGGATGTGCGTCACATTACACTAGGATATCAAAAATGTTGTAACTCGGTAATGATTTGATGTAATTTAAGAGCTCATTAATGAGAATGGCATATGTAATCTAAATGCGTATATCAGAGTTTTATTAACACTTATGATTAGGACACATAATGAATATTTAAAGAGGTTTAATCTGCCTTCACTCCCTCAGATCGGAGTTTGCATGCAGGCGCACGTTCTCCCGTCAGGTGTGTTTTTGATAAATCAAGGAAGTGGCGTACGGCTCATTCAGGGCGGTTTAGTGCGGCGCTCGTGTCATAAGCGAGACCCCTGGCCGTCGGCCCATATTCCCGTCTGCAGGACCGGTCCATACGTTAAACATGCGGCAGTGCTGTTTCCCAGCCGGGCCGGCCCTGCGCTACTGAAACACTCTTTGTTTCAACTGTTGACAAAAGCTCTTCTCTCTCTGTGTGTGTGTGTGTGTGTGCGCCCTGTAGGACGACCATCTGCAACCTGTACACGATGCCCCGCGTGTCCGAGCCCGTCTGGCTCACCATGATGTCGGGTCCGCCTGAGAAGAAGCAGCTGTGCGGCCGCTTCATGAGGGAGCTGGCGCTGCTGATGGAGCAAGCCTCCAAGAACCAGTTGAGTAACGCCACGCGCTTAAAGAAGAAGTTCACTTTTAAAAAAACTTTTGCTGATAATTTACTCGTCTTTCTTTCTTCAGTCGAAAAGAAATGTAAACGACACCAGACGATGAATAAGGGTCTTATCTAACGAAACGATCGCTTGCTCAAATGCTCGCCATGCTCTGTTCTGACTCGTGACTCTCCTGTTCAAACCCGTTCATCAAAATGAACAAATCTTTTTTTGTGTCATTTGGTTGATTCAACGAACGCAATGAACGAATTGACTCGGAAAAAGATTTGTTCGTTTTGATGAACGAGTTCGAACAGGAGAGTCACGAACAGAACAGAGCAAGGCGAGCATTTGAGCTTATAAAACTTAAACTTTGTTATTTATTTATTAAACGATCGATCGTTTCGCTTGATAAGACCCTTATTCATCGTCTGGAATCGTTTAAAGCCCTTTGAACAGTTTGCACTGAAACTCTCTTTTGGACCCCATTGAAGTCCATTATATGGAGAAAATCCTGGAATGTTTTCATCAAAAACCTTAATTTCTTTTCGACTGAAGAAAGAAAGACGTGGACATCTTGGATGTCATGGGGGCGAGTAAATTATCAGCAAAAAGTGAACTACTCCTTTAAGATCTGCACGGGTCCGATACACACCAGGACAGAGTCTCACGCTTGAATTGTTTAAAGTCATATTCAAATTCTCACAAAGGAATCGATGAGAGGAATCGAATTTTTAATTTTAAGTGTCCAATTCCAGAATTTGAATCGATTTTCGATTCCCAACCCCAGTGAAAAGTGTGTGTGACGAGTGTTTTGGTAACCGTGTTGTTGCATGCTTTCTCTGTCGCCTTCAGATTCCTCCCAGCGCTGCTCACTGCAGTTCTCACGAACCACCTCGCCTGGGTCCCCACGGTCATGCCCAACGGCCAGCCGCCCCTGAAGACCTTCCTGGAGAAGCACTCCTCGCCCAGTGTGGACATGCTGGCCAAAACACACCCCTACAACCCCCTCTGGGCACAGCTGGGTGAGTGACTCCATCTAGTGGAGTGTAGATGTGAACCACATGCTTTAGAGCTGAGCTTCTTCCCGAAAGCATCGTTAGCCAACTTTGGTCACAAGTTCAGTCGTTATCAGCTGTGCTTCCCGAAACCATTGTTCCAACAGACATTTGCAAACAGCATCTCAGAGTTGTGTGTGTGAGCTGTGGTTAGAAGCTCGCCTCATTTAGTATTCACGGCTCTATGAATATGCAAATGAGCCCCGCCTCCACTCACTCAGTCAGCTCAGAGATCCACTGGTTGACGATCACACGTTGATCTGATTGGTTACAAGCTCGTTTGTGACGTCAGAAAGTGTTTGGTTCACTGCAGTTTTGAGGAGGTAATACTCAGCTATGCTGTCGACTTATGAATTACATGAATTAGTTAATATTTATAATAAGATTCTAAACAGACCACTAAACAAAATAAGGCTAATTTACTACAGGTTCTGACTTAATGTTTACTGCTGCATTTTTTTTATTATTTTGAATGAATGATTCAATGACTCACTCATAAAGGTGTAAAAAAGAATCAGCGTTTTTGAACAAGTCTCGTAAATGAATGAATGATTCAATGACAAGTACATTTTGAAAGTTTCTATAGTGGCATGTTAATCAATGTTATGACATCGTCATCTTGCATATGATGTTGGTGAAATCAAACCTTTGTTAAGGAGTCAAATGTCACAGCATTACAGGAATGAAGGCTGTTTCTTTTTCCACATTGCATCACATTTCATATTTGGTTCCTGAGTGGTTTGGTTAATACGGTTTTCTGCAGGTGACCTGTACGGTGCGATCGGCTCCCCGGTGCGCCTGTCCCGTACGGTGGTGGTGGGCCGGCGCCAGGAGCTGGTCCAGCGTCTCCTCTACGTGCTGACGTACTTCATCCGCTGCTCGGAGCTGCTGGAGATGCACCTGCTGGAGAGCGCCGAGGACGAGGCCATCGTCATGCCCGGCTCGCTCATCACCACCTCGCTGCGGCCCGGAGAGGTGGAGGACTCCGAGTACGTGCTGGTCACCGTGCACAAGCCCAGCCAGGACTACCTGACCCACGGTGCCGAGGCTGAGGACGGGGCGCAGAGCAGGTCGTACATGGAGGCCGAGGTTTCAGACGAGCACACCCATGCCACCGCCCCGGACGGAGACGCTCCCGTCTGCAGGTGAGAGGAATCCTTTAGACTCTGATCTGAAATCAGATGGCACTGAGAATTAGGCTGGATTCACAAAACGCTGGGCGCGCCGCATTCTCCTTTATCCAAAGCGCTAGGGCGGTTGCGCTCCCGTTGGTTCTTGTCACGTGACCTACTGTTTGCTCATTGTGCGCTTGTGGCATTCTGAAAAGTTGAGATGTTTTTATCTCGATGCGGTTGGAAAAAAACGAGCGCGTCGCATGACGACCACGTCGCTTCCATTATGAGCGCACATACGCGCGCCTACATTTGAAATAACGAACTTCAGCGCGCAAAAGACGCCCTTAAAGGGTTAGTTCACCCAAAAATGAAAATTAAGTCATTAATTACTCACCCCCATGCTGTACCAACCCCGTAAGACCTTCGTTCGTCTTCGGAACACAAATGAAGATATTTTTGATTAAATTTGAGAGCTGTATAACTACCACATTGGCTCCTAAGGGACTGCCTCTTGACGGCCCAGAAAGTCAATGAAGAAAATGTTTAAATATCCCAAGTGACTACCATGGCTCAACTATATGTTTATCAAGCGACGCGAATACTTTTTGTGCGAAAAAACAAACAAAAATAACGAGTTTATTCGACTATTTCTTTTCTTCCTTGTAGGCCAGAACGAGACTTCCTTATAGATTTCCACGACGCATGCGCGAGAATTGCGATCTGAAGTGGTGTAAGCTGATGTGAGCAGATCGCAAATCTCGCGCATGCGTCGTGGAAATCTAAGGAAGTCTCGTTCTGGCCTACAAGGAAGAAAAGAAATAGTCGAATAAACTCGTTATTTTTGTTTGTTTTTTCGCACAAAAAGTATTCGCGTCGCTTGATAAACATATAGTTGAGCCATGGTAGTCACTTGGGATATTTAAACATTTTCTTCATTGACTTTCTGGGCCGTCAAGAGGCAGTCCCTTAGGAGCCAATGTGGTAGTTATACAGCTCTCAAATTTAATCAAAAATATCTTCATTTGTGTTCCGAAGACGAACGAAGGTCTTACGGGGTTGGTACAGCATGGGGGTGAGTAATTAATGACTTAATTTTCCTTTTTGGGTGAACTAACCCTTTAAATGACTCAAAGGTGCAGTGTGTGAGTTTTAGTGCATCTAGTGGTGAGGTTGTGAATTGCACCCAACAGAAGTTCCGGTGATCGACAGGAAGTGATGTCGTCGTCCGAGAGAGCAGTGAGTAGCAAATTACAAAAGATAAATTAAGAAATTATGTTTGCTTAATTATTCAGTAAAGCGACGTTATTGCGAATATTATTGTGACTTGTTCATCATTGTGTTTTATTCGCTGAGTTTAGCAGCTTCTTTACACGAAGAAAAAACTTAATGAGGAAACGCGTTTGTCCGTTCAGGGCCACCGTAGAAACATGTGGATGTAAGGGGACCCGCGGTGTGTGTAGAGAGAAACGCCTCATTCTAAGCGAATAAAAACATAACCGTTCATTAATACACCTCTGAAAGCATAGTTATGTACATGATATCGCATTCCTGTCAACAGATCCTTTTGAATATGACACAGTGCACCTTTAATTGGGGAAATTGAGAGATGAAAGCATGCTGATGACCTGGGTCTGTGGCGGAGTAGGGAGTTTGACGTGTAATTAAACTCGAAGTTCTGGGGGCTGATGGGTTAGTGAACCCGAGGTTACCCTGTGAGTCGGTCCCAGAGCTCCTGTCCGGTTTTAGGGAAAAATCGGGTCCATTGGAGACGTCTAAGAGAAAGAACACCACAGACACGGTGGCCCTCATTTATCATTCTTGCGTAGAAACGGGTGTATAACTCAATGCACTAACTCAAAACGTGCGTACACCACCTCCTGAGCTGGTGTAGGATTTGAGTGTGCCGTACGCCAACGTCCATATTGATAAATCTCAAAATCACCGTGGTTTTGGGTGTACGCCAGGTGTATGCTGGAAATTTGGTGTACGCACTTTTGATAAATGAGGGCCACTGTAACCAGCATGGGGGAATCTCAGAGTAAAACTGGGAGTGGTGAAAAACATGAGACACACCAGTAGTGTTTTGCCAGATGAGAAGTTTATCTATGAATCATCATTTTACTCTTTTTAATTACTTTTATAACTGTCCTTGCTTTTATTTTGTGCTTATTTACATTCCTTTTTGTTTGATAACTTTATTCATGTCCTACCTAATAGACAGGAAGGGTACAGGTAATTATGACATTTATAATTAAGTTGTTATATTTTTTAAGCCTAATAAATGTAAAAAAAAAAAATAGCTTTCAATTACATTGATGTTGAATGGCTTTAAAATTTGGGAGCGGGTGTGGGTGTATATATTTATCCACACATCAATAGCTGTATTAGTGTCAGTGATTCTGGCCTTTATTCATTAAAAAATGGCATTAAACTAGTATTTCAAATGTACTGTCTATGTTGTCTCTACATTAATTTGAAAATTAACTGAGAAATGTTTACATTATTAAATATATAAACTAAAAACACTTACTTTTTTGTAGGTTTACATATAATCAAGATTAATCACAGAAAAAATTAGGGATTAATCGCGTTAATTCTTTTAATCGATTGACGGCACTAAAATAAACTTGTCTTGCAGGGCGGCGGAGAGTCCGCGGCTCGAGACTCGCCTGGAAACCGTGGTGAAGATCGGATCCACCTCGCAGTGCGAGAGAAGAACCTCGCTCGAGGTTTCAGCAGACGTGCCTGAGGTTAAAACTGGCGAGCCAGCCAGGGTCCTTCATTCCCCAAACGCCCTGCTCGAGAAGAAGCCGCCCGACAAGAGCTCGACCTTTCATCACAACGAGAACGAACCCTCTTCCAAAGTCACATTCCTCATCGGAGACTCCATGTCTCCTGAATCTGACATGGAGAGTCGCCAACTAAAGGTGGAGGAGGAGATCAAGAAACACAAGAAGCTTCTCAAAGACAACCAGCAGAGGTTGTGTAACGCCGAGGCCAAGCTTAAACTGGACCAAATCAAGAGTGCTCCGTCCCTCACTAGAAAGATGTCTCAGTGGGGGCCAAGAGTGCAAGGGGACTGCACGGACATGTTCGACGAGTATTTCAATGAGGACAACCCTGTGGAGACCAGGACTATTGATGATGTCTATCCGAAAGCTGCACAGACAGGGACTGAAACCTGCTGTTCTGCTGAGCAGGACAAGGGCATCGAGATCTCGCTGAGTGTGCCTTCGCCAGCGACAGTGGTGGACCAGAAGAAAGCTCTCCCGCTGAACGACTGGGAGATCCCGCGCAACGAGAGCTCGGACAGCGCGCTGGGCGACAGCGAGAGCGAGGACGCCGGACAGGAGCTGCATCGGCACGAGTCCGACGGCCCGTTCTACAGCGACGAGCACAACGACTGGCAAGATGAGCTCCAGGTGCCCTTACCCGGGTAAGGGAAGAAGAGGAGGTTACGCTTTACAATACCTACCTTAGTTAACATGAATTAAGAACGAACAATACTTCTACTGCCTTTATTAATCTTAGCTAATATTAATTTAATGTTGATGTGAAAAAATGTCAATAATGAACGAGATCATCTGTTTTCTAGGGAGAAGCTGGTGGAGAACTTCTCTAAACCGAGCATTGCCAACTTTGGGAGGTCATTGTTTGGTGGGTACTGTCCCACATATGTTCCAGACTTTGTTCTGCACGGAGCGCCCAATGATGAGAAACTGAGGCAGAACCTGGTGTCGGATCTGGCCCATGCGGTTCAGGTAAAGACCGCCTCCACTGCATCACATGACCAGCACTTGGTCAAATCACTGTTGCTTGCGTGCAGTAAGGGCTGCTTCAACACATTTTTTTATCTGATTGATCATAATTAACGTTGATGAGGGTATCGTCATATGCAAAGTCCCCCTGTAGTCAATAATCGTATTCTTTAAAACTCATCTTTGATCACCAAAATGACGTGCATAGGGTTTTTTTTCCTTTAAAAAATGTCTTCGTGCTAATATCTTGAATGTAATTCGACACCCTCGCCTCATTTAGTATGCGCGGTTCTATGAATATGCACATGAGCCCCGCCTCCACTCACTCACTCCACTGGTTGATCTGATTGGTTACAAGGTGGTTTGTGACGTCAGAAACACTGTTTTTGAGACTGTCTTTGGTTCAAAATACTCAGCAATGCTGTCGACTGATGAACTTACACACTGTGTGTGTTAAAGCGGATTAAAAACACCACATACACACATAAACAACATGAAACGCTGGATTTCCACCACAGGGGGACTTTAAACGCACAGAAGTGTGAGTGTAATGTGCTGAGTGTGTGTTTGTTGTGCAGCACCCGGTGCTGGACGAGCCGCTGGCGGAGGCCGTGTGCATCATCGCAGACACTGATAAGTGGAGCGTTCAGGTGGCCAGCAGCCAGAGACGCCCCTCCGACAAACTGGGCCAGGAAGTGCTGGTGTCCAGCCTGGTGTCCGGCCTGCTCCAGTCCACCATCCAGCTCTACAGACTCAACCTGTCGCCCAACTTCGTGAGTCCAGCTCCCTCTCGCTTTAACACGCTACACGAGGACAGTGTCATCAGTAATCAGCCAATCATGTTTGAGTATGCACTTCATGATGCTTTAGTGCGTTATGTGAGATATATAACAACTTCATCCACCTCTTTGAAATATTCACTTTTGTGAATATTAGACATGTATAGATTCTTGACCAAGTATTCTGGAACTGATGTTTGATTCCCAACCCTAGTTAAACATAACTTTAATTGTAAAACAAACACAAATGACAAAATTCAAGGCACGGTATATTAGCATAACAAAAACAGGTTCATACCACTTTACTGAAATATTATGTTCAATAGCTGTATTAGAGTCAGTGATACTGGCCTTCATTCATAAAAAGATGCCATTAAAGGATTAGTTCACTTTTAAAACAACTTTTGCTGATAATTTACTCGCCCCCGTGTCATCCAAGATGTCCATGTCTTTCTTTCTTCAGTCGAAAAGAAATTAAGGTTTTTGAGGAAAACATTCCAGGATTTTCTCCATATAAAGGACTCCAAAAGACAGTTTCAGTGCAAATGAATAAGGGTCTTATCAAGCGAAACGATCACTCATTTAATAAATAAATAACAAAGTTTAAGTTTTATAAGCTCAAATGCTCGCCTTGCTCTGTTCTGTGTGACTCTCCTGTTCGAACTCGTTCATCAAAATGAACAAATCTTTTTCCGAGTCTTTTGGTTCATTCAACGAACGAAACAAACAAATTGACTCTGAAAAAGTTTTGTTTATTTTGAATGAGTTCGAACAGGAGAGTCACATAGAACAGAGCAAGGCGACTATTTCTGCTTATAAAACTTACACTTTGTTATTTATTTATTAAATGAGTGATCGTTTCGCTTGATAAGACCCTTATTCATTGTCTGGAGTCGTTTAAAGCCCTTTGAAGCTGCACTGAAACTGTCTTTTGGACCTTGAACCGTTTGGTCCCCATTGAAGTCCATTATATGGAGAAAATCCTGGAATGTTTTCATCAAAAACCTTAATTTCTTTTCAACTGAAGAAAGAAAGACATGGACATCTTGGATGACACGGGGGTGAGTAAATTATCAGCAAAAGTTGTTTTAAAAGTGAACTTCTCCTTTAAACTAGTGTTCGAAATAAAGTCTTTATGTTGTAAGATTAACTGAAATTATTACATTACAAAACCTATTAAAAAGTGTTTTTAATCACAGAAGTCTAATCTACTTCATTTTTGTAATTGATTGACAGCACTAATTTCAGTGCATTGTGGAGGTCAAATAAAGCTCGATTACTGGCGGCGTCCAGGCGTGTGTGTGTGTGTGTGTGACTCTCGCTCTGCTTGCAGTGCATCATGCATCTGGAGGACCGTCTGCAGGAGCTGTACTTCAAGAGCAAGATGCTGGCGGAGTACCTGAAGGGTCAGACCCGAGTGCACGTGAAGGAGCTGGGCATGGTGCTGGGGTAAGACCACACACACACACACTTATATCACCACACTTCTCAAAAACATCCCGGGTTCACAGTGTATGACGGGGTTTTTACATTTATATTTCTTCATTTAGCTGACGCTTTTATCCAAAGTGACTTACAATCGCTATATATATAATATAAGCTAAAAGACTTTAATGTTTGTCAAAACATAGTTCAAACGACTTGTATAATAAAGAAATATCTGCGATAAAGCGATTACCCATAAGCCAATGGGATTATCCGGTCTGATGATGTTCCCTTTATTCCCACAGGATCGAGTCGAACGACCTGCCTCTGCTAGCGGCCATAGCTAGCACACACTCGCCGTACGTGGCCCAGATCCTCCTGTAGAGCGACACCGGGGTCATCAGGGTCATCAGGGTCACGGGGTCGGGGTGAGCAGACTGCAGGACAGATGCTCGTCACCAAACCCACAGATTCCCAGAATCCCTCTCAGGACGATCACTTTCTCACAACGTCTGAATGTAGAAGCCAAAGAAGCGCTTGTGTTCATGAACACACACTGCAGCCGTCGTGAACACACACTGCGTCGCGGCGCTGCTTCTCATCAGCAGAGGAAGCAAAGACTGTTAAAATCAGTTTTATGATTTTAATTACATTAATATTCTCGATGGACTGTGGCAGTGAGTGAAATCCTCTTCTGTGTTTACAAGAGAACCTACCCTGTTGTTTCCAGAGCTCTACCTCACACACACACACTTTTCTAACATGTTAAATGAAACACTTGTCGTGTGTGGTTCACTAAAGAGGAGCCCACGGCACGATCTCCCATGGACGAGCTCTGAGGATTCGACGTTTTGTTGTTTTGTTTTCCGGCAAAGTCACTTTAGCGGTAACAGACGTGTTTACCTGTCCCGCGAGGAACATCAGCAACTCCTGTGTTATTATTACTGTTATTATTATTGTTATGTTATATTTGACTGTCTGGGAATACGTCGGGAGGCAGATCTGACGCTCACTCACTACAGTGGACTTATTTCGTAACACTGATCCAGGGTCATTCAACAATCATGTTCAGGACTGAAACGCTGGATCTCGTGTAACGAGTGTGTGTGTAGCGTGCAGACAGAGTGTTTACTGATGAATATGAGCGGAATGGGTGAAAGATGCATATGCGGTTATTAACTCTTTCCCCGCCATTGACAGAACCTCCCGTCTGTGTGTGTGTGTGTGTGTGTGTGTGTGTGCTTTTACACACCTCTGAGAGAGGACTGGCTCTCCTGATCGAAACATGTGAAGAAGCAGAAACAAGCCATTGAGTTTTTGAAAAGCAACATTTTGAACAAAACACTGAGAAAATTGCATTTTTTTAAATTTATTTTTTATTTTTTTATGAAATTGACTCCCATTCAAGTGTTGATAATAAAAAGCTAGAATGAAACGGCTTACAAACTTAAAAAATGTCAATATCGTGCAAGTTTATTTCAGTAATTCAACTTAAAAGGTGAAACTAATATATTATATAGATTCATTACATGCAAAAAGAGATATTTCAAGCCTGTTTGTTATAATTGATGATTATGGATTACAAGGGTTTTCATATCTGTAATCCATAATAATCGCAATTATAACAAACAAAGGCTTAAAATATCTCACTTTGCATGTAATGAATCTATAGAATATATTAGTTTCAAGTTGAATTACTGAAATAAATGAACTTTTGCACAAGATCTAATTAATCTGTATTTTTTTTTCTTTTATATTCTTGGGGCCATGGAGATTTCTGAGAATGATGAGATCTGCTGGCGGGGGAAGAGTTAATATACGCATTAATTTGACAGTGTTGATGACTTGTGTAGATGTTCATGACTGGTTTGCTTGCTGTCTCCATGCATCGAAGTCTTACTCGGCGTGACGTGATCAACACTGCTGGTTATAGAGGGGTGTATAAACATGTACGACATGCTTTTGTGGGAAACTTGCAATTTACTTCATTTTGTAAAAAAACAAAACAAAAAAAAAAACACGTCTATATCCACTCGTCTTCTCCAGAATATGTATTTATATCTAATTTCTTTATACAACAAGAACAACAACCATTTTAATTTATTTACTGGCATGCATTGATAAATGTTAGCTGTATATACTGCTTAGATTTTATTGCTGTATTTGTACATAATGCCTCTCCCTTTGACCTTATCTTTGTTTCCCAGTTTTTATGGGAATATTGTGCAATAAATATGCCAACATTACAAATGTGTGTTGATTCTTACATTACAGCAGCATTATTATACATTAATACATACGAGGTCGCATTGAAAATATCAGATTTAAAGTCTCGTTTAATGTTGGATTTTGAGACATTTATAACAACGGGAGAAAAAAAATCAAGGTTACATCAAATTAGAAAAAGTAAACTTGGCACGCTAGCCACTACTTTATATTTGAAAATTATATAAAATTTGCCATGTGACACGCCTCAGGGTAACACGCAAACCTGAACATCATCAAGAAAGACAAATTATTATACCTTGCAATAAGATTGTGGTATAATGAGACTTTTTATCATGTATTTGTAGCTTGAAAACCACATTTGTCACTTTACATTCTGGTTTCTGTACCCAAACATTACACCATTTCTTCAGTGTGTGTGTGTGAGAGCGGGACTCTTATGTTGGTCTGGCGGAGTGACGTCATAAAGCAGCGCCGTACTCCAGCTTCTACATGTTTCTGAGGAAAGGTTCGTGATTTTGCATTTAAAGTCTTTAAATCACTGCAAACTCTTCAATCGTTTTTACAAGCTACGTAACATAGTTTAATAATGTTTGTAATGAAACGTTGTAATGTTTTATTTAACGTGAATTAACGTTTTGTTTTGTGTGAGAGAACCTCATCTAAACATGAGTAACAGAAGAGGTGCGCCTCATTTCCATCTATAACGTAAATCAGTGTATCGTAAACACGATACTGGAAATAAGTTATGAGAGACAATTTTGCTTCTTTTAAACTCCGAGTCAATTGAACCAAATGATTCAGTGATTTGGATCGCTCGGTTCACCGCACGCTGGCGACTCCTGCTGGTCAGAACAGTGTAAATGCAACCAGAACATTGCCATAAACGCTTTCTGCTATTCTGGCTGAAACAAATTCCTGGTTAAATAAATATTACACAAAAAAAAACAACTACATTTCTGTTTTGTATTCATTAATTATACTATATGATTAATGATATGTTTTATTATGACCATGTGTAAATCGTTAAAAGTTGCCGATCTGGATTCAAACACCCACGTGATCTCATTCATTCCTAAATGACGGCCATTCGCCTGTGTCTATTAAACATTTGACAAAACTCACAGCAGATCTTTTCAACCACAGTTTCGTTATTTCTGCGTTGCGGAGATTCATATTATCACAAAAAATAAAAATTGAGTAAATCATCTTTTGAAAGTGACTTAGCACTTGTTTGAGTTACATGGTTACACCAGTAGGTGGAGACAAGTGACTGTTAAAAGTGTATTTGACATTGAATCATTCATTAAAGAGATTCGTTAAAAATCTGATTCATCCAGTAATGAAGTATTTATGAATCATTGCATCATTCACTCAAACTGTTTTGTTTATTCATTTAGATTAATTAAACATTTTTGATACTACAGTTTAACAATTTTGACAGTTTAACAATTTGTCAATGCTATTTTTCAAAATCGTGATCTCTGTTTGAAACAAAAAGAAATCGTGATTCTCAATTGATTAGTAAAGATATTAATGCTACGCTTTCAGAGCTAGCTTGCTAATGCTAGACTCTCCAACATTGCCTACCCTACCTTTAATGTGTAAAGATAACGTTTACCAACCAACTGCAAATGTTTTCATGAAAGTTTAAATAATTACATGTGATGAACAAACAATTTAATGCCAAATATAAATCATAAAAACCTTCTCATGAACTTTGTATAATTAATGTATATTTACATTATATTATATAAATATAACATTTAAGGCTATTCACTATAACTCTCCCTCCGACTGCTGAACGAGGGAACTGATTGAGATTTATTTTTTTGTCTTTTAATAATTTTCATCCTTAATATGACAGAGTGTCCAAACACTGGGAAAGCAACTATAAACACACACTTTAATAAAGATGGCGTTGATTAAAGAGGAGAGTGAAGACATGAGGATTGCAGACACTGAGGAACAAGCAGGTCAGTTTCGTTCTCCTTATCTCTATATCCAGCTCTACAGACATTAATGATATTTATGAAGTGTGTCGTATGAGTGTCCTAATTAAAGCGGTTATACGTTACACATGTGTCCCTTCAGCCTTATAAGCCGATTACCTTTAATTATTATCAGTTTATGATGATATCTTTTTCAAAACCATTACAGATGAAACGATGTGCCCTGTCGTCTTAACCACAGGTGCAACCGGACAAACTATAAAGGATCTTAGCGAGCATGTTGTTGGTTTTGATATCCGTCAAACTGGTGTAAACTTGTGCTGGTCTTTTGCTTTAGAGCTGATGAAGCTGAAAGAGGACAGTGAAGAACAGTGGGATTTCATCAATGGAGAAAAACCCAGAGAAACTGAAAAGACCAAATCTAACAGTCACCTGACCTGTGATCAGTGTGGGAAACGACGAAGAACTTCTCACATGAAGAAACAGCTAACGTCGCCCACATAGAAATGGGCAGTGGAGAGAGCGCAGTGACCTGCCAACAGATATGCCAACACATGTACTCAGTGTGGACACAAGTTCCCCACATACAGGCTTCCCACGTGTCCTGAAAAACTGATGGCTAATGTTTCAGTCCTGCAGAATGTAAAATGCCTTCTTGTTGAAAATCTTGTTGTTGTCTTGGAAAATTACACAAAAAAAGAGTTTATCACTCCCTAAAACAATAAATGTAACACAAAGCACTAAGTTCAGGGTCAAATCACCTTTATTTATCAGTTGAAGAGTTCAGATGCAAAAGCCTCTAAATGCCATTTGAAATTTTCTTCTTTAATGATGATTTTTATCAAACTTGCATATTTAAGTTCAGTAATTTCACTTAAATAACAATTAATAGGTAATTATCGTTGCCATTTAAGTGAAATTACTGAACCTTAAATATACAAGCTTGATAAAAATCATCATTAAAGAAGAAAATTTCAAATGGCACTTAGAGGCTTTTGCGTCTGAACTCTTCAATTTGTTCCACCACTAGATGGCGCTGTGCATCAGTGCTGCAGGTGAAAGCCACACCTGTTCCATCATGAGCTGGGTTGAATCAGAGGGAAACAGGTGGCGGGAATTTGTGGTTCTTATTACCATAAAAGCAGTACAATGTAAAGTGTCTAAGATCTCATTAAATGGACGAAAGCAACTGTTCAAACGAATATCGCCGTGTGCAGTGTTTTGTGTGTGAAGAACACCTACACCTGTCTTGGGTTTATAGGAAAGCCACTACACAAGTAAGAACCATCTCGGATTAAGGAGATCTCGTTTGTAATTGAGTGTGTGTGCATTGGAATGGACGGAGGAGTTATAGTGAATGGACAAGGGTTTGATTGGCGCCTATGGCAGAGTGGGTGACCACTGACCACTGGAGTGTGTGGAGCGCTTACCTGATGTGTTGGAGAGTCTGATCGTGTTTATGCTTTAAGCTCGTACATCCGGGGAGATCTCCGAAGCTCTACGAAACGCCGGTGAGTGAACAACTTCTTTGAGCGATATCTGTCGCATTATGAGATCTGATTCAGGAAGAAGTTTGAATCGCGGCCTGAGTTGAGTCAAATGATTATGTTCTTCTACAATAAACACTTTCAGCTTGCTGAAGCTCGCACATGTTGTGTTGAAGTGGATCTCACTTTTTTCAGTATTCTCTTTGTGAGTAAACGTGCATTAAAGGGAGCGCGCGCGCAATGAGCGTCATTGCAGACATTAATGATGATGACTTCACAAGTGGAAAGGATGATGCCGATGTTGAAAGTAATTCAGTGCATGGCCATGCTGTTATTTAGAGAAACCGTGCTGTTGGCACAGAGAAAAGAATCAGGAAAATGACTGACAAGTCCCTAAAAAGACGAGGAAAGCGTGCGGAAGACATGACCACACGACGGATACGATCTGTAGACGCAGTGGGAACGAAATATCAAACCAAATATAAACTGGCTAAGAGCTTAACTAGTAAATGGCCAGATAACTTGCATGGCTAGACTAGGGCCGTGCACAGGGGGGTGGCTAGAGCCTCTTGCCCACCTGCTCCGCTTCGCTCAAAGCATTCCTTTGATTCCGCGAATCCCCTCCAGGTTTTCCCGCTCGCTCCGCAGCAAGATATGAAGTCAGAATTGTGAGATATAAAGTAAGAATGGGGACTCTGAAACTCTATTACATTTATTTTGTAATTGTAAATATTCTGAAGACTTCTGGAAGCAAGTTTCTATGATGTTTTTTGATACATTCTACAAAATAATAAGAATAGATGAGGCAATGATTGTCTTCTTAGATTGTAATACTGGCTCAGACATAATTGATAACACTTTAAAGTTAATAATTCTTCTTGGGAAATTTCATATTCATAAAGCCAAAGTAATGTCTATAAAACCATCTTTTAATTTCTTTTGTAAAGATGTTAAAATATTCCATGATTTCAACTACTAGAAATAAGAAGTGCATAAAAACATCTCAAATTTTGGAAAAAATAGTTTGTAGAATTTAATGTTTTACTCTGTACAATGTAAGATCTGTTATGTGTTTTCCCCATTATGTGTTTGTCTTTTGCTGTAAAATGTCATTATAAGCTTTTGTAAAAGTTGAAAAAAAAAAAAGTAAGAATGGGGTGTTATAAAGTTACAATTGCGAGATGTAAAGTTACAATTGCATGATATAAAGTCAGAATTGTGAGATATAAACTATTTTGAGGGGGAAAATATTTTCCCCTTAGAATTGGCTTGATTACTCGCAATTGTGAGTTTTTATCTCACAATTTTGAGAAAAGATGTCAGAAATTCGACATATAAACTCGCAATTATGTGTTATAAAGTCAGAATTGCGAGATGTAAACGTCTTTTTCCCCCTCAGAATTGCGACTTTATAACACCCAATTCTGACTTTATATCACGCAATTCCGACTCTTGCAATTGCAACTTTATTTCTCACAATTCTGACGTCATATCTCGCAATTTTGAGATTAAAAAAAATATATATATTTTTTTTTATTCAGTGGCAGAAACAAGCTTCCATGCAAGACAGTGGTTGAATCTGCGAAATTATTCATTATTTTTTGTTTGTTTTTTGCATTTATGTCAGTAATGTTTTGCACTTGGTCTTCTACTAGTGCTAACAACTTGTACAACATATTCACGTTCTTAGAATTATTTTGTAATAACTGAATAATTTGTGTTAACAAGCAACTACCCCCTTAGTGCCCCTTTTTTGGCTAAGGCCACTGCCCCTCAAAATGTCTGTGCACGGCCTTGTGACTAATATCGACATTGTTTCCATGTTTTGTCTGCTTGAACTAGATTACCCTGGTATAGTAATCTCTATTAATCTACAGTATAATTACAATGTTTGATACAATATTGTTTTATTTGATTTATGTAAATGTGAACTTTTATTTTATATTGGTTTATTTATTATCACCATATGTTACTTTTTGTATTTATATTGTAAGTTAATATTGTGTCCAGTTTGGCCCTGTAAATATGGGGTATTATTTTTGAAAAACCCAAACCGATACCCAACCCTATCGTCAAGTGTGAAAGAAGTGGCCATGAAGGCGAAAAATCAGATTTGGCCCAAATTCAGAACTGAGTCAAGAACGCAATTCACAAATATGCATTTTCTAGTGCCATTTTAAACACTTTCTACACAAAGTACTAAAACAGGTTTTCACATAAGCATGACGTTTCAGGTGATGGCAATATACTGTATATTTTTTATTACTCTGGTCACAACATGTGAATCTTCATGTGGGAATTAAGGGATACTTTATGTCCGAAACTCTTTCCACACTGACCACACGCAAACGGCTTCTCTCCAGTGTGGATGATCTCGTGTTTTTTAAGGTTTCCTTTATTAGTGAAACCACATCCGCAGTGTCGGCAGGTATACGGCTTCTCTCCAGTGTGAACTCGCACATGTTTTTTAAGGTTTCCTTTTTCAGTGAAACTCTTGCCACACTGAGGGCATGTGTAAGGCTTCTCTCCGGTGTGAACTCTCATGTGGGAATTAAACGTTGGTTTGTGTGTAAAACTCCTTCCACACTGATGGCATGTGAAAGGCTTCTCTCCGGTGTGAATCCTCATGTGGCTCTCAAGGCTTCCTCGCCGAAGGAAACTGTTTCCACACAGATTGCAGGTGTAAGGCTTTTCTCCGGAATGAATCCTCATGTGGCTTTTAAGGCATCCTTTTCTAATGCACCTGTATCCGCAGAGCGTGCAGGAGAAGGGCTTCTCTCCAGAGTGAATCCTAATATGCCGGTCAAGGATCACTTTCTGAGTGAAACTTATTCCACACTGAGGGCATGTGTACGGCCTCTCTCCGGTGTGTATTCTCATGTGAGATTTGAGGTTTGATTTCCTGTTGAATCCTTTTCCACACTGTTGACATGTGAAATGGCTTATATTTGTGGCCTTTTGAGCTCTTTCTTGTGAAGTCTTGTCAGTCTGTGAGCAACTAAATGATTCTTCTCCAGTAATGAATTCATGATGAATTTCATTCAGTTCTTGACTCTCCTCTTTCAGTGCCATCAGATCTAAGGCAAAAAAACAAATACATTTTAACAGCACAAAAATACATATATATATTTATTATTAACCAACCTACTCATTAACAAGGACCCTATAGAGTAGACTGTACATTATTTGACTTTTTTCTCACACAAGACAGCTGTTGCGTATAAGTTTCACAAGTGGCACCAAACTAATATTGTGAGTTCTTCTTGTGTGTAAAAGTGCCAATCTTACTCCATTTACCTCATCAGTAAAATTAAAGAACAATCAAAGATTGTTGAACAAATAGAAATTATATAGATTGAAAGAATGCCACCAGACCAATCTGAAGCATTTGCGAGATATAGAACTCTTCTGTATTATCAATACAAGGAAGACAAGTGTAATAAAATAAATTATATTAACTAAAAGATAGTTTTCTGCAACACTGCAAAGTGGACCTGAGTGGGCCAGAGATGCCCAGCCCTGATGAAGAGACGTCTCAAACACAAGTATGGAGTGCCACAGGGCTCAGTATTAGGTCCTCTGCTTTTTCCCTGAGAGATATTATTTCACTCTAATGCTAATAAAACCCAGTTTTATATTTCTTCACAAGCTGACAAAACTCCCCAACTCTTTAAGATAGCAGAGTGTATATATAAAAGATCTAAAAGACAGGATAACTAGTACGTTTCTTCAATTAAATTCTGCCAAAAACACAAGTATTAATCCTTGGATCAATATCTCTAAAAACATAAGAGGCTTCATCTCGTTGTATGTACTGTAAATATGGTTCTCTACGGTGAAGAACTCGGCTGTTTGAACAAATTTGTTTTCCAACATTTCGAGAACAGCCTTCTTGTACCATAGTAATTTTAGAGCGTCAATAAATAAGCTCTAGTTGGTTAAAAATGCAGAGGCTAGACTGCATACTAGATTTTTTTTATTTATTTATACCTTTATTTAACCAGGAAATCCCATTGAGATTCAGAATCTCTTTTACAAGAGAGACCTGGCCAAGGTAGCAGCCAAAACACAACACATACATACATAATAAACACCATATTATACATAATAAAAGTTACATTTTCATGATAAAAGAAGTTAAGAACATAATGATACTCAAGAAAAACAAGAACATGTCTCCATCACAACACTCTTTACAGTAGTTTTAAATTCATTAATGGACATAAGATTATAGATATATTTTATCATCACAACACTAAATGCTTATTAGGGTTTTTTTTTATTGATTTTTAAAATTCTACTAATTACACCCACAGTTCTCGGGCTCTATGCAGGTGCGCGGACTTGGTGTTGTTGTGTGGCAGTGCTCCATTGCCGCCAGAGGTGCAGAATAACACAACCTGTGATTGGTCACTTAGTCGAAATCAGACATTCAAAAAAGGAAAAGAGAGAAAGCTGCAAGAGGGAAGACAGGGTACAGAAACACCTGAGAATTACACCAACCTGTTTGTTCCTCAGTCTCTTGCTTCACTTCAATCCTCATGTCTTCACTCTCCTCTTTAATCAACGCCATCTTAAACGTTGCCCAGGTCACGTGGGTCTCAGTCGCTTCACCTGGAGTTTTTCTGTGTTTGGACTCAGTATCTAAGGTCAGAAAGAAAAATAATTTCCAAATTATATTTCAGGGTGCATCTCATTCAGCTCACTAGTTCAGTAGTCAGCATACTGGACATGATTAGCCAAAAAAAAAAAAAAAGAACTAGCACTACAAATTAATTAAAGAACACAAATTATAAATTAGACGCTTTGGATTTAGTTATGGTATTTATTTATTTGTTTAAATTTAATAGATTACACTTTCTTCCATTTAAAACATTTTTAGTTGGTTGGTAAACGCATAGATATAGATATCTATGGGTAAACGTACACGGGTTTGACCTGCGGGATTCGTCAGCGTGCGGTGAACCGAGCGATTCGAGTCACTGAATCATTTTTTGTGAATCATTTGGTTCAATTGACTCGGACGAAAAGCCCAATTTCTCTCATCACTACTTGCCATTGACCTTATTCATGTTTACGATAAACTGATACGCGATATCGAGAGCGAAATGAGACGCACCTTTTTCTGTTACTCATGTATAGATACTTGATTCACGAAAAATAACGTTCACAAATGTTACATGAGGCATACATTGTTGCATTTAATAATAATTTATTTATTTTACATAGCTTGTAAAAACGATTAAATTGATGGAACAGATTCCATTTATTTAAACTTTAAATGCGTAAAACCACAAACCTTTTTTTGGGTGAACCACATCCAGAAGCTGGAGTTCGCCGCTGGTTTATGACGTCACATCAGCGGGCCAAAATAAAAGTCCTGTTCTCTCTCTCTCTCTCTCACACACACACACACACACACACACACACACACACTGCTGTCTAAAATCACAACCGAGAATGGAAATGCACATACAAATATATATAATATTAAGAAAATATACAGAAATACTAAAGAAAGAGTGCAAGATTCTGTCTGAAAGGCAATACTAATTGGGGTGCAGAAACCAACAGTATTAAAATCCAAATTGTGACAATTAAGAAAATATACATGTTAAAAAGATATTCTATATAGATATTTGCCATTCATTATAAATCCTGTCATGCAAGTGGACGTTTTGTGCATTTCTGAGAAACTAAGGGATGTGTTTAACTTGCTTTCTAGTGAGGTTGACATGGAGATTTAAAAGCTCATCAGGACTTTTGGAAATCTGTTGAGCCAGAGATATATTTGCATAGTAGCCATGAAAGTTGCCTGTCTTTTTGATTCAACTTTCCTGTGTGAATCTGCATTTCCAGATATGAATTTTATTAAGAACAAACACAGAACACGCGTTACTGATGGACATTTGAAGGACTGCATTAGTGTTACGGTGTCAGGTTATACTCCTGATTTATTGGGCACTTATGGACATTATGCAATGTCAATGTTGTTGTTTTACTGTTGCTGTTCTGCAGAGATGTGTAGTTTTGCCGATGTTGATGCACAGAGACAGACACGAGTGGACAGAAAGCACAGCTTTATTGAGTGCACTGGTCGAGCACAGCCGAGCGCTGGCGATGATGGGACGGGCTGTTATTAAGGCATCACACACAGCATGCACATACAGTCACATGAACATTATATTGCTCTAAAAGACTGCTTAACATGGAAAATGTACAAAACGGAAAAATAGGTTTTTGCACTGATGAAAAATACTCGTCTTTTTTTTTTTTCTCCTTCTATAAAGATTTCCAATACAAGAAAATAAATATAGCAAAAAAACAAAAAAGCAAAAAAGTAAAATAATTTAAAATAGCTCTTTTTTTAATATGTTCAATAGTTTTCTCTGCTATTAACACATGGCACAACATTCTTTGAAACAAAGAACATAGAAGGATAAACTCCAGCAACATTCATTTCAACATATCGGAGCCGTGTCGAGCGATGGATGAACAAGTGGATCTGTACTAGTGCTTCACCTCTCCGGGGCTCGTTTACGATCTACACACGTCACACTTCGATACGCTACAGCTGGACACACGAGATCTCCAGAGCCCTCTCTGGCACGACACTGACGGATATCTGGCTGTGGAAAATGCCCAAAAACTAAAATATTAAAAATTAATATTCCTTTTTCTTTATGCAAAATATACTGTATTTGTGTGGGTGAAATAGGATTCATCTGTGTGCATTGATTATCGTGAGGCCTGTTGTGGATCGTAACGCTCCTCCATGGATGAGAGGATCGAAAGGACAGGGGTGTGCGACGTGTCGTCTGCGGTAATATAGGAATTGGTGTTTTATCAATGTGCGCTGACGTTATTGAGTATGTCAGAGACGCACGTCTAGAGACAACTGAGTTAGAATTACCCCGAAACTCAAAGACTATCATATGATTTATAGCAAGAGTGCCGTTCTCCCAAATATCAGCACGACTGCGAATGTGACGTTGATTTCATACATTTTAGACGGAGTAATGTCCGTTCAAACACACGCCGTTAAGAGTTTCTGAATCAAACGAGTCAGTTGAGTGAATGATTCAGTGACTCACTTCCTACTCTGGGTTTCAGTTTCATATTTAAAGCGTTTCATTTTTAATATTCATACATCCAAAAGTTTTTTTTTAAATACGAACTCATTGCAAACCAGAATATGAACGCTTTTGAAAGTCAACCTAATAGACTGTATAAAAATATGGACATATTCTGTGGCGTCACTTTTTATGACGAGGGTTTTTGAAGCCCAAAGTGGGCGGGGCCGGCCGTCGCCATCTTGGATCTTAAACGAGAGGCGGGATTAGCTGAGGTGACGTTGACGCTAGCAGATAAACTGCTAGTTGAAACATCAGCAGCAATCTAGCTGTCACTCAAAGGGCCACGCCCCTAATTACACGGAACTTTAAGGCTTAGTATAAATTAAACGGACGAGTTATAAAAGTATTCACCCCCCTCACAGTCGTCAACATTAGCGATATAGACCAAACCCACTTTTTGCGCCAGATTGTAAACACATGTTCTTCTGCTGTAAAGTTGGCCATTTTAACATGCGGGTTTATGGGATTGAGTCTCTTCTGCAGCGCCTCTAGTGGCCAGCGCCTCTAACTGCAGTTTAACTCACTCAGTGTGGATTCGAGAGAGAGACGGGAGGAACCAGCCATCATCTAATTATTGTTGTATATTTCTGGTCAATATCGCACACCCCTCGTTGGTCTTGATAACCAGCCGTTAGAAACGAACGCCAGCAATAGAGACAAAAGAAGAATAAGTGCAAAGATGTCGAAGTGGATCGCTCAATAACACCAGATCGATGGAGATCTGCTCTGGCGTTCTCGCCGTGGAGGAAATGATTCGCACAGAAGCTGAACATTTACAGAGGTTACGTCGAGTATATGTTATAGCATGATAAAGAAGCGTGAACTCTTGCAGCCGGCTGAAACTATTTCACTAAAGGCACAGTTTTCCATGACTGAACCAGAGAACGGCACATGACCAGCATCTATGATTAATCCTATTCAAGCAGCTGAGATACATGAGATCTGTACAGGTCGCGGTCTGGGGTCAGACACGGGTCAGAGGAGGAGTTCACTTCAGACGTAAAGTCTCCTGATCATCATGTTCACGTCTGTCTGTCTTCAGTGGAAATGAAGGTTTGTGAGGAACACACTCCAGGATGTTTCTCCATATAGTGTCTTCAATGGGGTCCAACAGGTCGAAGGTCAGATGTGAGTTTCGACACGATCCAGCTGAGGAATAAGAGTCTGATCTAGACAAACCAGCGACATTTACAACAAAACACACATTTATATACTTTAACCACTAATGCTGGTCTTGCTCGAGCTGTGATGCGACACACATTACGTCATCAGGGTGAAAGGTCAAGCGTGTTTATCGTTCTCATTTTCTTCTCAAACCTCAAAATCGTCCGACATCGTTGTTTTACCCTTTTAATTATTATTTTTAAGGTAAATGTTTTAACTCAGTCTTCGCACGTTGGCTCTGTAAACACTGGGTCGGTTCTTACGCCTACGTCCCGCTTGACCTTTCACCCTGATGACGTAATGTGTGTCATCACAGCTCGAGCAAGACCAGCATTAGTGGTTAAAGTGTATAAATGTGTGTTTTGTTGTAAATGTCGCTGGTTTGTCTAGATCAGACTCTTATTCCTCGACTGAAACTCACATCTGACCTTCGACCAGTTGGACCCCATTGAAGACACTATATGGAGAAACATCCTGGAGTGTGTTCCTCACAAACCTTCATTTCCACTGAAGACAGACAGACGTGAACATCTCGGAGGAGAGTAGATGATCAGGAGACCGTGACTCTGAACTGAACTCCTCCTTTAAGTCAATGAAGAGTCAGAACGAGGAGTTGGTTCTTCTCACCGTTCCAAACCCGTATGACTCTTCTGTGGTTCACCAAATGACAACCACTTGTTTGTTTATCAGAAGACCGCACCAGTGATCCCAGTGTTGGAGATCAATGGTGGAAGGGAAGGTTTTTTAACTGGAATGTAGCGAATGGACCACGACGTCTGTTTTGGACCCGTTTACTGTGACACGGGTTTGGAACGACACGAGACTGAGTCTATGAGGACAGAAGAGTCGTAGTTGGGTGAATCCCTCAGAACACACACTCAAAACAAAACATTTCAGGAGCGAGCGTCGCCTTCCTCGCGTGTGTGTGTGTGTGTGCTCGACTGATCCAGGAGTGTGCGGGTCGAGATCTTCAGCGTTTACATCCACTTCAGAGCATTTGCTGACGTGCTGTTCTTTGGCATCATCATACAATAATCAAAAAAAGCCAAAGTCAGAGTTTCCTCGTTCCCGTCAGATCCTCTCAACACACTTGCCGAAGAAACACGGTGTTGTTCGATGAATGTACAGGTTTACACTCTTCACATGATTGCGATCACTTCTTCTCTTTAACCCTGAGATAAACACCATGAGCTGATTCACGAGACGTCTAGAACTGAAGAACGGACTGGCTGACGTTGGTTTAGGAACAGCAGGATTGGTGATTGTGGGATGCTGTTTTCTAGGCACCAAGAACATCTACGGCCCTTTCACACGAGCTAGCGGACCATTTCTGATTGCCTTCATCGTGTTAAAATGATTAAACATGTGGATTATTAGCTTGATTGGGGGTGAGGACCTACTGAAGGCACGCTTTAATGGAGAATGACAACAGCTTTTCTGGACAAATGGACCAAAACAAGTTTGAGTAAGACATTCTCTTTCGATATAACAGGGTCACGGTCTCACAAGTGGTCCAGTGGAGGTCGCTCGGCCATTTCTAATGCGATTACCTCTGTGTATTGGTATTGAGAAATGATCATTTGGTATTTGTGTTACACGGACGTTTACGGAAACCTCAGTATTGACTCGAGATGTTGCTAGAAACAAATCTTGACACTGATCTGTAGAGTAGAGCACATCACAAAATACACAAACATATGTAAACATTCGATACATTCTTGCCCAAATGCAATGATCACGACCGCTCAGGGCTCAACTTCACGGTCCGGTTCTGATAGGAAGGGTCTGAGCTGTCATGTTGTACCTATTGTAGATGTTTAGACCAATTGGGCTGGTGGCAGGAAATAGTAAACATAGTGTCGGCCCACATCCGGGCCGTGTGAAACCCATGTGTACCATATGTGGGCCGACACTATGTTATTGTGCCGTATTACAAGAAATAATCGATGGAAGCCACAGAATAAACAATTAAAAGGCAATTCCGAGTTTATATTGCACAATTCTGACTGTTTTTCTTGCAATTCCGAGTTAATAAAACTTAATATTCTGATTTTTTTTCCCCTCAGAACTGCAAGTTTGTGTCTTTTTTTTCTCTTAATTGTGATATAAACTCCCAAATGTGAGAAAAAAAGTCTGAATTGTGAGATAAAAATGTTTAATGTTGGTAACTGTAGGGCTGATATGTGAATATTCTGTAGATCTGTTTACATCAGATTCATGGTTTAATAGTAGGGTAATCGTCGCAGTCCAGTCTGTCTGTTTAATGGCTTGCAACCATAAACATCTGTGTTTAAAAGCTTGCCTTCGGCGACGGTTGTTCTGCCGACACTGTGCGACGAAACTGTGAAGCTCCCAAATGGTTTATCGTGCAGAACGCCACCTTAAAGGATTATTTGACTTTTGAAAAAACTTTTGCTGATAATTTACTCGCCCCCATGTCATCCAAGATGTCCATGTCTTTCTTTCTTCAGTCGAAAAGAAATTAAGGTTTTTGATGAAAACATTCCAGGATTTTTCTCCATATAATGGACTTCAATGGGGACCAAACGGTTCAAGGTCCAAAAGACAGTTTCAGTGCAAACTGTTCAAATGTCTTTAAACGACACTAGACGATGAATAAGGGTCTTATCATGCGAAACGATCGCTTATTTCAAAACTTAGTCCAAAAATGTAACTTTTCTAAGGACAAATGCTAGCCTTGCTCTATTCTGTGAGGCGCGTTTGTAACGTCACGTAATACGTAATTACGTTCAAAAGGTCACGGGCGACGTAGCCGGAAGTACAGAATCAAAATTGTCCGACATCATTGTTTTACCTTTTAATCTTTTTGTAAACGGCGTTTGAGTTAGTTTATACGTTCAACCTGTAAACACTGACTCTGTACTTCCGGCTACGTCGCCCGTGACCTTTTGAACGTAATTACGTATTACGTGACGTCACAAACGCGCCTCACAGAATAGAGCAAGGCTAGCATTTGTCCTTAGAAAAGTTACATTTTTGAAATAAGAGATCGTTTCGCATGATAAGACCCTTATTCATCGTCTGGAGTCGTTTAAAGACATTTGAAGCTGCATCTGAAACTCTCTTTTGGACTTTGAACCGTTTGGTCCCCATTGAAGTCCATTATATCGAGAAAAATCCTGGAATGTTTTCATCAAAAACCTTAATTTCTTTTCGACTGAGGAAAGAAAGACATGGACATCTTGGATGACATGGGGACGAGTAAATTATCAGCAAACGTTTTTTCAAAAGTCAACTAATCCTTTAAAAGACTAAATATTCACATATGCAACTCAATTGGCTGTAAAACGAGTTTAAGATTTAGCTGCTCACAAAGCTAGTTAATGGAAATCTGGGGGGAAATAAAAATGGCCAAGCAACCAACTCTTTAGGACCACTTGAGATAGACTGACCACTGACACACACACACACACACACAGCGGGCCCTGCTCGTGATGCTGGTACGTCTACACTAGCCAAAGCGAATGGATATGACGTGTGCTACATTCCCCAACGGCTATTTGTGCTTATTTGTGTCATATTATCTCTTGTAAATCATTTAGCCACATCCTCTGAAGACACACAACAGACAAAACAAACACACCCTGAACAGACGTTATAATGCCCACGTCATTGTCCCAGTTCCAGGACAGATCCTATTGCTTCCCAAACGGACACATCCAACAGTGTTCACACTTCTCGTTCCTCGTGGTTTCGTCAAGCACAAATGGTTATGGTTGCATAAATGTCGGCGACGGGCTAATATACTCAGGGATAAGGGTCTGGAAACGTATGCATCGATGACATGACGACAGTAAAGCGATAGTAGCTTTAGGAGGCGAGCACGCTTCGCCGCACTACTTGCTCCTTCCCAGCATGCAGTTGGGGCAAGCGTAACTTTCGCCTGGACGAACGAAATTCAGTGTCGCTCTGTTCCGCGTCGGAGAAATAACCGTCCGTCTCCGTGTCCGGTGCAGACGTGCTGTTCAACAGCGATGTCTCACTCTTAGAGCGGGACTTGCCTGGTCTAGGTAGGCGCAGACGCAAGGCCACCTGCGAATCCGCATCCCCGGTGCCGCCCCACGACCCGTGCTCCTCGGAAATGTGGCACGAGTCCATTTTGGAAATGGCTGGTTGAAGCGGGTCCGGCCTGGCTTCGCTACGGCTGTGCCGGTGGAGCGATCGCTCTCCTCGTTTGCCTTTAACCGTGGATCCGGTCCGAGGGAGCGAGGCGGACTTCCTGCGGGAATTTCTGGCTTTGCGTCCCAGCTGAGGAGTCTTCCAGGTGGACTGGTCCATCATCAGGCTGAGCAGGTTCTCCTCGCCCTGCAGGAGGCTGGCGGACGGGTCGTCGCTCTCCGCCGACAGAGACCACTGGCTCAGCATGTTATCCGCAGTGATGTGGACCGACCGAGCCAGCCAGCTGTCGAACAGCGAACCGTCCAGCGGGAAGGATTTGGAGAAACCTGCGGAAGAGATGAGAATGAGTGGACCGTCCGTGCGTCGTCTCAATGAACAAAGTGCTTTTGTTGGTAAAAAGGGTGTAGTGGTGCAACTGATCACTAAAACTCACGGTTCAGATCATAATATGGTTTTTGAGTCACGGATCGGATCATTTTTTCAGACCAGGGAGAAAAAAAAAGGGGGGGGGGGGGTTAATGTAACTTTGCTTTTCATTTATTACTTTAAAGGGATAGTTCACCCAAAAATGAAAATTCTGTCAGTATTTACTCACCCTCATGTTGTTCCAACCCCGTAAGACCTTCGTTCATCTTTGCAACACAAATTAAGATATTAAGATCGCTCCATAGGCTTCTTGAGGGACTGGCTCTTGCTGTCCTCGAAAAGTCATTAAAGACATCGTTAAAATAGTCCAAGTGACTACAGCGGCTCAATCTTAACTTTATCAAACGACGAGAACACTTTTTGTGCGCAAAAAAACAACAAAAATAACGACTTTATTTCAACTATTCACTTCCTTCTCCATAAGCCTATAGTCCGTTAACGTAGTGTGATTGCGTAGAGCTACGTCACACGTAGGCTCACTATTGGCCGACGCTGGTCATGTGTGTGTGATGCGTGTGACGTACAATAACAGAAGCTTACGCTATTAAACTAGTAACCTGACTCGCGCAGAGGGAGAAATAAACGAATAGTTGAAATAAAGTCGTTATTTTTGTTGTTTTTTTGCGCACAAAAGTGTTCTCGTCGTTTGATAAACTTAAGATTGAGCCCCTGTAGTCACTTGGACTATTTTAACGATGTCTTTAATGACTTTTCGAGGACAGCAAGAGTCATTCCCTCAAGAAGCCTATGGACTGTATACAGGAGCGATCTTAATATCTTAAATATCTTAATTTGTGTTGCGAAGATGAACGAAGGTCTTACGGGGTTGGAACAACATGAGGGTGAGGAAATACTGACAGAGTTTTCATTTTTGGGTGAACTAACCCTTTAAGCCCACTTTATGTGCTTCAACACTTCAACATACTTTAAATACAAGTGATAAAATACGAACAAATACACAAATTACAAGCATAGATAAATACAATACAATAAAGTAAGGTCTGATACACGCATGTAATCATAACACTATATTGTTCACTGTATAAATTAAATATCGATTAGTGTTTGTTAGAGGTGTGTTTTGTTTGATTAACATTATTGACAGAAATATTAGGCCGCTGACACTTTAGGGCCGAATCCACGGATCTAATATACTGATACTCACTTCAGACATAACCGACAGCGTTTATAGGAATATCTGCATCACGAGGACTCAATTCGGGGTAACTTTAAATCTGTACGCCGCTACGCTCGGATAACAGCGCGCTCTTTCGCTGGAATGTTTAAAATCGATGTAAATTTTCAAGAATAAATACATTTTCACTCTAAAGCCGCCTTTCCACTGCACACGACATTCGCATTTCGCCCCCCTAGTGTCAGTCGCACGGAACTTTGAAATTGGTCGTGAAGCAACCGTCACCCTCGGATATTCACAACGGTAAAATTAACGATTTTAATGAATGTAATGCATGCATGAATATATCTAAACAAAACAAATGACCCTCGACACATCTCAAATAAAAACATAGTAGATTTTATAGAGCTAATCAATATAAATATTGATTTAATTATTATTATAAAATATTTTTTCTGCTATAGTTAATTATAACCAACATTTTACAGAAAGAGCGTTTACAGAAAAACATTAAAGAGTTAAAATATTGGTAATTCTAGCCTCGCGCTCATAGTTTTTATTAGAATACATCACTTCCGGTTGGCCGGTCGCATATACGGTCTAGCCGCAGAAGTTCAGATATTTCAACGGATCCAAAGCTCAAATCGGATCCGAATTTTCCGCATAGGCACGGAAATCCCCGCAGCTCCCGTACGACTCTCCATTAGAAATGATTGACTTCCGGTCCGACGGCAGTCGTTTGTCGTATGCAGTGGAAAGGCGGCTTAATGCTGCGTTCACACCGGACGCGAATAGCGCGTCAAATTCGCGTCTACCGCGTCTAGTTTGACGCTTGACGACTTTGTGTTAATTTGTGCGTCAAGAGCGAAACTGACGTGCGTAAAATCAAAAGTTTGAAGCGAAATTTAAATCGAAACCCGTTGGCGGCCATCTTTTTTTATGTTGATCGAGCGTTCATCGAGAGAGTCGCGGCTCTGTATTTTCTCTAGAGAGCAGAACAGCGGCGTGGGGATCAGTGTCGCCGTATACTTGTGTCCACCGGACTCTTCGGAGGCGAACCGTTTGCCGAGTTTCACCGTTTGCTCGCTCCAGGAGCTGCGCTTGATGACGGCCGCTGTCAGCGTTACTTCCGCCTGTCCCGTGGCCAGTTTGATGACCTGTTGTCCCGCATCAGAGCGAGGATCACCCTCGCCCTCATCCACCTAATCTGTCATTTATTTTAGTTTTGATAATAAATAGAGCCAGTCTCCAAAAGTTATTAACCTGTCCTGTGATTCTTTTCTCTCTCACGTCCAGACACGGACTTATGCACATGGTATGTTGGTTGTCTTTACATCATAATACTATTTCATATGATCTAGATATGGAATGAATAACATTCAATACAAAATGAACATGTCTCGTATATATAGAAATAAAGTTTTAAGTGATAAAATATTTGCTTTGTTGTGCATAAGAATCCCACCATGCATTTAGTCATATTACAAAATATGAGCATCCAGATCCTTCCCCACGTGCGCAAGCACCTAGGCTCCTGATTGGTTAACGCGGCGCGAATTGACGCCAAAGTTCAGATTTTTCAACTCGGGGCGGCAGACGCGAATAGTGCGTCAGCCGCAAATGATTTCAATGTTAAGTCAATTCAAAGACGCGTTACGCGCGTAAAAATTCCTGTGGCGCGGAAGACGTGAATACGCTTCATTCGCGCGTCAAGTTCGCACAAATTGAGCGTCTGGCGCGTTAAGCGCGAATGATTTAGTTAGTGCTATTTGTGCATTCACACGTTTGACGCACTATTCGCGTCTGCCGCCCGAGTTGAAAAATCTGAACTTTGGCGTCAATTCGCGCCGCGTTAACCAATCAGGAGCCTAGCTGCTTGCTCACGTGGTGAAGGATCTGGATGCTTTAATTAATTATTTTGTGTGAACGCATCATAAAATGGTTAAACGTAGCACTTAATCACGAGCGTTGGCAGCGGGTCCGTACAGTGAACAGTATACTAAATGAGGCAAGAGTGTAGAGTTGCATTCAATATATTTTAAGGCTTGAAGATTTTTTTTATATGTAATTTTGGTGATAAAAGTATTGACTACAGGGGAACTTTAAGAACCATAAAAATGCATTTTGAAAACGCAACTGAATCGCACCGCTGGACAGTGGATTGAATCGAACTGAATCAGTCTGATTTTCTTTAAAAAAAGGGTTTTTGAATCTGATTGAATTGTCCGTTCACATCTCCCGCAGCTGCTCCTGTCAGACGTGCACAGACGAGGACGCCCGAGGGACACACACTCACCCAGCTGCGTGAACAGACGAGGACGCCCGAGGGACACACACTCACCCAGCTGCGTGAACAGCGAGGCGTCGTCTGATTTCCATTTGTCCTTTTTCTCTGGACTGCTCTTCCTCCGTTCTTTGGCTCGTTCCCGGACTCCATTGCGGTGATTCTTCTCGCCTCTTAGATTTTTCTCTATGAAGTGGAGAAAACAGAGTATCCAATACACTTAAAATGAGCAATTAATCTTCCCGGCAGAGCTGAGAAAATTAATTAAGAAATTTTCACTTAAGTACGAAAATGGGTGTCTCAATCGTCTCCCGAGCTCGAGAATCAGTGTATCGCGTTCATGGATATGATATGAAAACCTTTTTACAATACTCTAATTTTGAATTTGGGGTTTTCATAAGCTGCAAGTCACAATCATCAAAATTATAACAAATAAATGTTTGAAATATCTCACTTTACATGTAATGAGTTTATATAATATATTAGTTTCACCTTTTAAGTTGAATTACTGAAATAAATGAACTTTTGCACGATATTCTAATTTTGCCAGTTTCACCTGTATCTTTCTGACATTACTTGTAATGCTATTTAAAAAACTTAAAATGGCCGAGTTCCTGATCAGTGCCCTGACTAGTGAACTAGAGAGCTGATTGATACACACCCAAGTAATACATCGAGTGCGTCTAAATCTCAAACCTGTCACCACACACTCGAGTGTTTCCCTCATCTAACGCCTGGTTTAGATCATCAGCTCATTAGTGGAGACTAAACCTGGGGCCGGTTGCATACAGTAACTTAGCTGGTATGTTAATATAGTGTCTAAAGTTCTAGCGTGACCCACTATCAGTTAGTCTGGGACAGCCAGTCTTACTTTTCAGTCTCAAATTAGGCTAATCTACGTTTTTAGCTAGCTGACTTAAAAAACGTTGAAAAAACAAAACAAAAAACACGATGATTATTTTGAATTAGAATTTATTCTTTTTTATGCGTATTACAATTTCTAAGGAGTGTTATCGTTATACCATTTTTCTTTTTAATGAGGGGTTTAACCCTCTGGGGTTGTTCGTTTCAGAGTCACACTCGCGTGTTCGGGTCCAAATGGACCCAAAGGGCGGGATTCATATTTAAAAAAACAAAAATCATGATTTTTTTTTTTTACTCGTTTTTTATAATATTTTTTCTTTTTTGGTGTTTTGAGAAAATTTCAAAAAAAAATATATATATAATTAGTATTAATGCAATAATTATGACAAAATTTGCCCCCATTGAACATAATAGAAAAAATATTTTTTTAAAAATATATATATATATTTTTTTTTAAAGCTGTATTTCATTTTAGAGTCAAGCCTAGGCCTCATAAAAGCAACTTTTGAAATGAGATGGATGCCATCTGGTGGACAAACTGAGCATTTTAAAAATGCAAAACGCATGTATAATCTGAATTTTTTGGTGTGTTTGTGTATAAAAGTGTGTTTGTGTATGTGAGTCTGGATGTTTTATAGATTCACCTCTTCACTGTTGTGTGCTTTTTTTTCAAGATCGTTGCTGATTTGTAGATTGTACGCACAAAAAAACTCAGTATTTTCACATTTTTGCCAATTTCCCATTCATTTTCCATGTGGGTCCATTTGGACCCGAACACCCCAAGTGTGACTATTTTTTTTAAACAACCACTTAGACTACTCACATCCTGTCCCCAATTTTTTGGGGTCTTCAAATACCAAATATCAACAAAGTCACCAAATTTCGGACCATTCCGAGGAAGCTGTGATTTTTTAAAAATTTTTATTTAAGTTCTTCGGGTCCATTTGGGCCGAAAAACCCCAGAGGGTTAAGGGAGTGCTTGGGTAATAGTAAACAACTTTTACGGTCCCCACTGCATGCAATATGTGCAGTTACGCAGTGCAGTGTCTCCAGAACAGGTTTGAGATGAAGAGTTAGATGAAAAGATCAGAGAACACCAAACACAAACAGCAACCGGCTTTATTGCTCATTGCAAACAACAAACCTGGCTGTCAACAAGTGCATGTCATTAAAAAATATTCTTTAAATATGGACTATATTAGTCAATTTTACTAAATAAAATTGCATCTAATATTAGTCAATTAACATTTTAGTTGACCAAACAAACTTTACACCAAATATTTCATAATTTTGCGTAAACATATCAACATTTACAGTAAAACATGTGAAAACTGTCCTGCTGATCTCCTGGATTAATAATAGTACAATGAGTACACTACTGTGAAAAACAATAATTAGTTTGTTTTATATTTCAGTTATTCATTGTCCATGTTTTAGTCCATTGTAACTGAAAGAGCTCAATCACAACCTGATTTACACAAAACTGCGTTCATATCTGATTAAAACATGTGAAGTGCACATATTCATACTTGGAAAAAGAGCAATTATGTGTCACAATTCCCTGTCTCTGAGTTCAAGGACTTTTATTTTGATACTCTTTTGTCTTGTTTTGCCTGTGTTCAGTTCCTGTGTTTTAGTTTCAGTTTCCTTTGGAGTTTTGTTAGTTGCCATAGTTTTTCGTTGTTCCATTGATTAGTCTCACCTGTTACTCATCAACTTAAGTATTTAAACCCTCAGTTGTCTTCTGTTCTTTGTCTTGTGTTAAAGTTTTGTGCTTATCGGTCCTGACGTGTATTTAATTATTTTGCTTCAAGCGTTAGTTTGGATTATCAAGTCTAGCCAGCGTGTGACATTATGAAAATGCATTCCCAGAGATTATACTAAAGAATCTGTTTAGTGAATGAAACCTTTAACGTCCAAAGACTAATTTGGAAGGGCATGGCAATTTTTTTGTCGTGAAATTATATATTGGTGAATCATTTTCTCATCAGTAGATATCTTTGGGTATGATTTTCAGTTTGAAAAAACAAAATAATTTTAGTAACATGACACTGTAATGCCGATATTTTTGAGTATCTAACCTAAACCTGGGCTGCCAACTTTGGTGTCCTGGTCGGACTGAGATTTTGATGGCATGGCCTGAAACGGCTGGCTAATTCACTTATTTTAAAAATTAGAATTATTTATGGAAATATACTATGAAATATACTGCATTTGTTTGTCCACAGTTGTAAGGCAGAAAGACTTTAAAGATGAACTGAACTGAAAAATATCGACGTTGAAAACGTGTTATTTATGACAATTAAAAGTAAATTACACTAAACATTTTTTAAAAATATATATTAATATAGATTTTTTAAGCAACGCAAAATTGCGCTTGTTAGCGCTGGCAGTTCCGATGACGTCACTGGCATGGTAGGACCCGCGGAGCGCCATAGACAACAGCTGTATACACAGGCGAAAATGAGCACTTTTAACGGCATGGATTACGCATTTGAGCCCGTGAGGGACAGGCCGGTAGTGTCTAACTACCACCACATGGAGGACGATCAGTTTTAGGCTTCACTTGCAGTACAGGATCGTTTGGGGGAAAGTGACTGTGGGCGCGAGCGCTGTGGAGCATAGACACTGCACGGAGACGATCTGTTGCAGAGAGGTCAACATGGACATTTATTGATCGGCAAAAAATGCATCACCATGCACCGTTCATTTCGGATGCTGTTCGTTGAGTGTTGAAGGAGGCTATGCTGACGCTAATGGATGTCCGAGCTGAGACGCTGGACCGCCCCATAAGTAGCAGGGTATTTTACGAATAGGTGACGGCTGGGCTAACTTACACTTTTCTCAGATTGTTTTAGATTAACAGCGTACTGGCAGTTCACTCTATGGGCGAGGGTGCATTTAGGAAGGAGAAAATCCCATCCTTTACAGTGAACTATACATCAGGGATCTTTTCCCCCTCACCCGAATATCAAGGATTCGTGTAACGTTAACGTGATGCATTGAACTTGTAACTTGTGTAAATAAAACATTTCGTGCATTGTCAGACGTTTCATGTACTCATTGACGAAAGTACACATCTCTAAATAGTGTGTCGCTAAAAAATCTGTTTCCTCAGCCATGTCAGCGCGCCTCAGACTGTTTACAAGCTACGTCTGTTCTGCTGATGCGGGTAGGCAACGGAGTGGCTTACCATGCCAGTGACGTAGTCGAACGTTGAAATCCAACATGGCGGCGCCCGTGTAACAAAAACAACACTTTCAATGTACCATTTTATCCCTTTTAACAAATTCTGCCATTTTAAAAATTGTACCAATGAGAATAAATAAAATACATCTGTTATCACCTTTTCTCAAATTTCAGTTCAGTTCATTTAACACCTTAAGCCGGTTTCATGCTTCTACATCAAATTAACGGTGTAAATTTGTCGCCGTGAACTCTTTTTCGACCCTCTCTGCGTCGCCTCAAACCCCTCTCCAACCCTTCTGTGTCGCCCTAAACCCCTCTTTGACACCTCTCTGACCCCGCGAACCCCTCTATGACCCCTCTGCGTCACCGTGAACCCCTCTATGACCCCTCTGCTTCACTACGAACCCCTCTTCGACCCCTCTGCGTCGCCGTGAACCCCTCTATGACCCCTCTGCGTCACCGTGAACCCCTCTATGACCCCTCTGCTTCACTATGAACCCCTCTATGACCCCTCTGCGTCACCGTGAACCCCTCTATGACCCCTCTGCTTCACTACGAACCCCTCTATGACCCCTCTGCGTCGCCGTAACCCCTCTATGACCCCTCTGCGTCACCGTGAACCCCTCTATGACCCCTCTGCTTCACTACGAACCCCTCTTCGACCCCTCTGCGTCACCGTGAACCCCTCTATGACCCCTCTGCTTCACTACGAACCCCTCTATGACCCCTCTGCGTCGCCGTAACCCCTCTATGACCCCTCTGCGTCACCGTGAACCCCTCTATGACCCCTCTGCTTCACTACGAACCCCTCTATGACCCCTCTGCGTCGCCGTGAACCCCTCTATGACCCCTCTGCGTCGCCGTAATCCCTCTATGAGCCCTCTGCGTCGCCGTAACCCCTCTATGAGCCCTCTGCGTCGCCGTAACCCCTCTATGAGCCCTCTGCGTCGCCGTAACCCCTCTATGAGCCCTCTGCGTCGCCGTGAACCCCTCTATGACCCCTCTGCGTCGCCGTGAACCCCTCTATGACCCCTCTGCGTCACCGTAACCCCTCTATGACCCCTCTGCGTCGCCGTAACTCCTCTATGACCCCTCTGCGTCGCCGTAACTCCTCTATGACCCCTCTGCGTCGC